AAATCGGCCTTTTCTCTTTCTTTTACGAACTTCACATCACGTTAATTTCACCATTATTTGCGAAGCTTATTTGCAATCATATTTCCTGGAAAAAAAGCAAGCGAAACTCCAAAGGAACGATACCACACCGTACATTGCCGTGAAACCTTACCGTGTTGTGCAAAAAAAACCTTCCCGAACACTTAAAATGAGCTGAGCCATGCAAAGTCCTTTTATTAAAAATATAAACGGGTGTAAAAAATTCCACACTGGTTGCCAGAAGAAAAACTTTGTTCATATATCATAACGATAGAGCGCATGAGGCAGTATTCGGCATAACATTGCAAGCCGGGAATTTGACATTATTTTCTTATCATACACCAAAACCCACAGGCACAAAAACACTGCATCCTACTTTGTCGAAATACTTCATATTTTGTTAAAGTGAAGCCCTCCCATGCCCACATCTGGAACGAATAAAAAACACATGGCAATCGGTTTCATATACAGTATCATAAGCGCGTAGTGAGATACCAAGATTAAAGGGTTTCTGAAGTTCTCCAGGTTCATGGCCCGCGCGCGTGCTCAGCCGATTGGTACAACTGATAGCGAGCGTGTGTGTGTTCCCCCTGTCTAAATGACATTCCTGAGATCCTTCTAAATGGCAGGTATTTGGAGTTGGAAGACTGATTGCACTTGACAGGGGTTACGGTAATTATTTTGTCTTCCCTGCCCCGATTCGGAAAACTTTTCGAGATGAGCGACAAGGGAACCCTAATATAGCTCTGAAGAAATAACAAATCCATTACATAAATGAAGGTAAGTTGGTCTGTACGTGGGGCTATAAAACATAGCTCCATGGTCTGTATCTACAAAACTGTGCTGCCAATGCTAGCAAATGCATGATGACTGTGTTCGATGTCTCGACAAAATGCAATCAATCATAAGAAGGTGTCGAAGAGCACGCCAGCAAGGCGGCATTAAAAAAGTTAGATCTTCGACAAGTTCAAGGGTGCCCGAATGGAATTATATTAGCTGAGCTTTTTTATTGAGAAATGCAGCCGAAATGTTATAGATTTATTTGATGTCTAGAATCATGTGTACAATTATTGTTTTGGTTCAACACTCTAACATGTGCCTGATTTCATTGAAAATCCCACAATATAGCTCTGTAAATGAAAAGAAATAGGCATTTCCACGTCACTTCTTTCAAAAATGTCGTGACAATGTCGGTTGATACATAGAACAGGACACTGTTCAACTTAAAAAAGTATCAAAACATGGACGTAAGTGGTCTCAATGGATTGCCATAGATTTTGTTTATCAGCTGAACTTCTAGAAGACCCGTGTAACTCCGGGAGTCCACGATGAATGCCATTAATCGAGCAGGGGGGTATGCCGTAAAAAAATAACCCAAACCCCGGGCAGCGTCAGCCGCAGACAGCTATACAAACAAATCCTCCGCGGAAAAAAAATATGTGAGCGAAAATTATTTCTGTATGCAACAGGTCATTGCGTTTTTACAATGGTATAGAGCTGCAACTTCAACTGTCGAACATGAGTAGAAATAGAAAGTAGATGTTGTTTTGACCTTCACTCATTTTTGATACATTTGCCGAGCAGAAGAAACTGACACTTTGGTTTTTAAAATGGAGGACCGGAGCCCCTATCATCAACTGTGTTTGTGACTCACCAATCCGGCACCATGTCAGTCTCTATTTCTGTTCAGAGAAGGTGAAAGGTCAAACTTTAAATACTTGATGATATGTTTGTTGACTAGAACAACTACCATTGCTCGGCTCAAAGAGAAATATCTAGGGCGGCGCCGAAAATGACCGAGTTTCTGCGACACTTTGGCATCCACTTTCGTGAATAATATCAACTAGAAAAGGTTCTAACTCGTTCGTGTGTTGTTTTTGGACACCGAGGACACAGTGATATAGGAAGACATCATTGTCCTCGATTGGTAAACGATGTCCTCGGTTGGAAATCGTGTACAAATCAAATAAGAACGGCTGTAAAAGGCTACTTTGAACGTTGCAAGAGGTCAAGGCAAGTTGCATTCAAAAATCGGTTTGAAAGTTTTAAATGGTTATAACTTAATGGCTATAGGTTCCTAAATTTTCTGAGGTTTTTTTTCTACTGCAAATTCTGGGTGTGAGCAAGACTAGCAATCGCCGCCTATCCCATAAGCGATGGGCACGACAGGGTTTGGCAACTGCTTACGTGGCACGTGGTTTTGCACTGCAAACCAAATACCAATTAGATGAAAGATTGCTCACACGACTCAAGAACAGGTGATAGTCAAGAGAGGAAAAAATTGTGACTGGAATCGTCAACGCGCGAACAGCTGGGCGCGAGCGCCGTGAACATGCAGCACACCGAAATGTCACGAAATCGCTTCAGGACTCTAATTCTGGTTGATATGGAAGAGTAACACATGGCCAATCCTTTCAAACAATACTGACAGGTGGAATCCAGAAACCAAATGCATTCTACACAAAAGTGCACATTAACTTTCACTCAGCTAGGCCACCAGGCCCCCTACTCTTTTCGATTGAATAAGAAATTGACATTTCTCTTAGTTAACACTAGAAACCGAATACACTCTCACACTTACTTATATTGACCTTAAATACACAAATTATGCTTTAATTTTAAAACTGAAGTTCTTGGCAGTTGGATAGTGCAAAAGGGCGTTGCTCATTACATTACCACACGTTCGGCATGGGCAATAATTCAATCTCCAATGTTGACGAAACTGATCACTTGTGGTTTTATCAAAACGGGGTACGCCTATCGCGCACTGCCCGGGTGCTAACATACCACCCAGGAGCACTTGTCGACGGAGTGCGAACAAGTTCGGCTAGCTTCATTCGTGCGCACTGTACTGAAGCATGAAGCTATGTGTTTTATAGCTCCATGACTGAAGCGAACTAAGGATGGACTAGGATTTTGTCTATGGTCGTATCTCACCAACAGCCACGCCCATGGTAATGTACAGCGGGAGCAGGGGCGGATCTAGCTTTCTCGAACCGGGGGGGGGGGGTGATATGAAGGGGGGGGGGCTGAGTGAAGGAGTGTCGAAGCCTTGTCCTCGGGAACATTTTGAAATCTATGATGCTTTCTCCTGCATTCTAAGGCAATGTGAGAATAATTTTTAGGAACTTTATCATTCCATTTCGGCCCCCATTTTACTAGTATTATAACATTAGTCAGCGTCTGCCCCTATAGATCCACTACGAGGGAGCCAGGGCCGAGAAGTATGATGTTTGGAAAACAGACTTCCACATTAATTATGATAACAGCGCGAAGGCGCAGCATGCGTCGCGACCAACCACTGGATAACCAATGATCCTCAATCGAACTTGCCCTGACAGAAAACGCGTGCGTTCGAAATCACGGGCCTTCCCGATTTTCAACGAGGTCAAACGTGACTGCAGAACCGAGCTAACGTTGCAACTTCCAAGCGTCATTTGAAACAACACCCAACGAAAGTAACAACAGATACTGCTTATAGAAGCGGCAACTTTCATTCCCACTCTCAAAAATGTGCCCACGGATGTCGCTGGGCGTGCCTAGTAATGTGGTATACAGAAAAAAGGTCCACCCAAACGAGTCTATAGTTGGTGGGTTTTTTTTTTACACCCACTCAATAAAAGTTTGTACAATTTTTGCAAGGCATTTTGACAAGCTCAGTGGGTCAATCCTTGAGGATGAGGGAGAGAGTGGGCCGAAGATAAAGTCCTATCCATGCCTACGGCTTTTTCGTGTATCGCAGAAATCTGGTAAGACTGCCATCCGGTCAAAGAACTTTGCATCTGAGAGACAATTTTGTTTAAACATTGGATAGGATGTAAACGAACACAAAACAGCCATCGTGTCGTAAATCTGTGCTAAACGACTGGGGCTGTAGCTCAAGTTGGAGTTTATTTTGGAAAGTGTCGCACGTGGGGCAAAGAATACTATTATACTAAGCTTAGCCTCGGCCTTCAGGGGTGTCTTTTTGGTGCATGACGAACGCCCACTTTAAAAACAGAAGTCTGTAGAGTGACACCCTAGTTTACATACCGCATTATCCTCCATTATCCACAAATCTGTCGTTTCTGATTGGACAAGAATTATTTGTTGTTGCCAAGTTGGGCACAACTAAAACTAGCATTACTAAAACTTCGCTTCAAAATTAACTTCTCTAGGCACGCGAAGAACCTTCTTCCACCACAAAAACAATGGTTCACGCGGACACATAACAACCACAACACAATTACATGTATTACAGATTGGAAAATCTCGCTCCCAGTGTGGCTGACGTGAACTGACAAACACGATAACAGATTTCAAGCTGGTATTTCCGCCTTCTTCCTTGATCGTTGTCAAACTTATCACGCACACTGCAAGAAAAAAAAAAGCGTCGGCCTTCCTTCTCAAGAGTGGTGATAAGCGGCGATCACTTCCTCAAGGAACCCTGAACTTTCGACAGTTTTAGTTCTCTGCCCTTGTTTTCCTCCCTGAAGATGTACATAACAGTCGTCACCGGCTTGCACTCTTTACAAAAATGCAATTAGTGATTGACAAGTGAAGAAAGCATTTCCGTTACTCTGTGGCGATCAGATTACGATCAGGAAACTGACTCTTTCTCATTTTGAGGAGAGTCCCCCCCCCCCGGAGACATTGGGATTTCGTGTAGGAAATGTTTGGAGACTTAAAAATAGATGTGTTTTGAAGAGAGAAGGCTAATTCTTTGGGCCTACAGCCCGATATTACCGCTTTTATGAGTAATGGTTGTTAACTTTTTACCCAATCGACCGTAGGCAAACGCGTCTACTTCAGTGGTTAATATATTGTTTCCTAGTAATACACGATATGAGGAAAGGTATGCAGTTCATTATGTATAGAGTGCGCAAAGTCTGTCTGTTCCTTAATTACCCTATGTTCAGGGGAAGTGACAATAATACCAACGGTGCTTACTGAGAGACGACCTGGCTACGTCTAATAGTGTCCAAATCAAGTGTGGTACTTACGCGAGCAACCGCCGAAGTTGTCTCTTTTCCAGCCGTAGCAGCAGCCGAACTGGCTCCGGCCGAACTTGCACAGCCCCGCCCTTCCTCCGCCTCCAACGACTGGTCTCGATTGGTTGGGAAGTCCTGGCCGCCTGCCAAGGATTTGTTGTCTATAAATAAACGGTAAACGATTTTTTAGAAACCAATCGAAAGTTGGAATGGAAAAGGGGAAGTTGACCTGACATTTCCACCCTGACAGGAACTCTATTTTTGAGAAAGATCCATGCCAGGGTCGAAAGGTCAGGCCGTTTAACCTTTTTGATTTGTTTATTCCAGGCCAATCCAGTCAGTAAGCAGTTTGCAGCAATTAAATCAAATGTTAGAATGGTGGGGAGTGTGGCCTAGTTCATGACTCATGATCAGAGGGTCAGGGGCTCAAATCCAGCTGGTGGTCATGCTGGTCATGTTGAGTCCTCTAGCAAGCCACTTCACCCCCACTTGCCTCTCTCCACCCAGGAGTAGAGTACCTGTGATAGACTAGCATCCCATCCAGGGGTAGTAGAAATATTCTCAGTCGTTTTATGCTACTGAAACCGGGGATAAACGCCGGCCTGATGGGCCACATTGGCTCGTAACAGACTTTACTACTACTAAATGTTAGACTGAACTAACTCACTATCTCAGAAAGGTCCATGTAGATGTGAACCCTAGACCCTTGGATTACAGGGCCAGATGTCTTCCTCCTGGCCAGATTGGCTTCCCGAAAGAGTTTCTTTGACCTGATGAGTCTGAACCAACTGTGATCGTTCTGATTTCTGACTCGGGCAAGTACTTCATATAGTTTTCCCTCGACATCATAAAAAGCTAAATATGCCACGTTCTAAATCCCAGCCCTCTAATCAGTCCTTGATAATCTACCAGGAAGTACCCCAGTATTTCGGAAGGAGCACCGCGTGTGATTTTGTAGCATCCGGGAAGGTCTCAAGCAAAAGGTAACATGGATCTCTCTTGACAGATTCACAGCATCGAAATGCCTTGACCTTGAACGCGTTTAAATTCCACATAGGCTTTGACCATGACAAAGTTCGATTATACCGGGGTATAGTAAAGGGTTTCCTCATTCCGTGGCTATATTTAGTTGCACCTTGGGGTAATAAATAACATATTTCACGGAGTGGACTATTATTTGGACAAGTGACGGCCAGCCGGCGGCCCCGGTTTATTTACGCAATTGCATCCTTTACTCTTGCCGATGAAAGAAGAAGCCTTCAACGAAACTATCTATTAACGAAACGTGATAGTTTAATGGTACGTTGAAAAGAAGTTGAAACTTCCATCATCAGAAGGGCACTTGCAGTTGGAGGCATTTTTAAGGTGAATGTATACAGAAACACTTTGGGGGACTTCAGTGTCCAGGAATTTAGGAGGTTTTTGGATGGGCCAGAAATGACAAGTATGTTTCTGGACGCATGTTTCTTCATCAGCCTCGCGCCGGGCGCGGGCCAGGAGTGCTTCCAAGTTCCAGAGAGTTCTTGACATTCTCTAAGACTCCTTGTGTCACCTAACAGCTATCGGATCAGACAAATGGCTCTAACTGTTAATTTAACCGGCGGTTTGACGTGTCATAAATGGACCTGAAAAAAACCGACAATAATTAACATTTATCGCACTGGCCTCCTTTAGTAGTCATGAACCTCCTAATCGTGATCTGATATTGCACTGTTATCCTCACTCTAGTTCCTGAGTTATGTAATAGTTCAGTCGGTAGGTAAAAACGGGGGTGGTATCAGTTTGCTATTTAGATTTAATTTAATGAATTACTAGATCTTACAATTTTTCAATGTTCTGTAATCAAGCAATTGGGATCATTCAAGGCTTGCATGACTGACTACATGCATTGTTCCTTCGGAGGGGAGGGGTGGGGGTAATCGGTACAACCTCTAGGTTAGACTCGATTCCAGTCCAATAGACAAGCTACTCCGTATACGGTTTTGGCGAGCACGGTAACTGTGCGAAATGCACTGAAGGCCACAGCATGCAAGGACGGAAGTCTGAGCATGGTGAGCAGCTCTATGGTCTGAGCAGAGTATAAAGATGTTAATCACTAAATGGTCTGACTAAACGACCAGGGGGATACGACACCCCTATGCCCAATGGACAATCATAATTACTGCGTGCGTGGGGGGGGGGGGGGGGGCTGTTGAGCTGATTTTCCTTCCCCTGATTAAATGCTGACAAGGCCAGCAACTTCCGAGGCAATCGACACTTAAGTTTGGATTTAGGGCGTGACACTTTTGGCCAGAGATGCAAAGGTAGCGACTTCGAACCGAAGGGAGCCCGAAGGTTACACGTTCCAGTGCAAACCACGGAGGAATGGAACCATATCGTTAACACATTAGAATCTCTAAACACGATACAGATCCACTAACATTTAACCGGAAACGCCTTAAAGCACGGATAAAAGGTTATTTAAAGTGTCTTAAGGTTATGAAAATGTCGTGTTTCCTCAACTTCAAAAAGAAAATGTTCACTGGAACGTTTCTTCTTTGAATATCTTGGTGTTTCAATCCATGTGAAATCCCCTATGGGTTTTCTACAGATCACTTTACGTCTATCGCTTGTTGCAGGTGGAGGTGTTTGATTCCGCGGGTTCGGTTTCAAGATCCAATTTACGGCCACATCGGTAGTCAAAACAGTCATGATATGTGGTCTTAAGTCTTGATGGCGGAGAGTTGAGGTTGGTGGGTGGGTGGGGGGGGGGGGGGTTATGTGAAGAAATCAACCAAAAAGTCCATTAATAAGCCTGGGCAGTCATGACAAATTCTTTGCGAGTGTCTCGGCGTCTGGAGTTATTTCGATAATTTTGAATCCGTGCAGTAAAACCAAAAAGGCTCTGATGGGGGGGGGGGGGATTTGCCGTGGTCTGTTCCTGCTCTATGGTTTAGCCAGGTTCATTTTAGCACACTTGTGCTGAAATGGGCGCTCAATGCTCCACACAAAGGGACCATTAAGCTTTAATTGTGCCGAGGATTACAAAAGGGGAAAGTGCCCTTTAAATCCTATTCAATTACCTTAGCGTCAAGTGTATGCATTGCGATCAAACTTGGAGAACATGTAAATAAAAGAGGTCTGTGCGAAAATGAAAGTTTAGAAATGGAGGGCGTAGGACAGGGAGCAAGTCTTGCAACTTTAAGTTTCTCGGTTTTTTTTTTAATATGTCAAATTTCTTTGAACTTTTTTTGCTAATTGCTCATCATCAATACTACACCACTGACTAGTGACTACTTTTTTAAACTTAAAAATCAGTTAATCGTGTGCTTTACCAACAACTTGGTTCTCAATCTCAGTGCTTTCAGTATAGCCCTAAGGACAAATCTTAGTCAACTCATAAAATTCCGTCATCTTTACCGTAATAAACCGTGGCCTCAGCGGCAACAAACACCTTAATTAAATTAAAGTTTAACAAAACATAGCCCAAAGCCCAGTTCTGAACAATGTCAGAGTTGACATGACACAAAACTTCTGGCAAAAGCGGAAAAGACCAATTAAGCTTTCCCAAGTGTGATGTGGTAAGCCAGTATTTTTTGTATACACTGTAATGACAACTAACCTGTTACACCCCATCCAACCACAAAGCAAGGAAAAAACGCAGTATTACCATTAGAACTGAGAAAAGCCTAACATAATGATCGTGATTTTATTACGCCAAAACCGGCACATGCACAGGAGCGTTCAATTTCAAGTGTGTTGTTTATGTTAAGAGCTCACTTACCTTTGACTAAATACGCCAGAGACGAGAAGCATAAAAACGGAGACCGAAGTTAGCAACATCTTGCCGGGAGAATTCAATCTGGCAGCTAGCTAACACACAGTAACTTATACCCCCGCGCTGTATTGGCACTTCAGTCAGTAGAAGTGGGCAGACGACGACGATCTAGGAAGTCTTCAGCTGAGTGATGGTGGAATTAATGCAGAATGATATTAATCCCCGTTCACAGCTAGACAGCCGTGTGGCAAGGGCGAGTTCGCGGGAGCGGTGCGGTGGAATGCCGATGGCCCAGGCACTAAGATTCCGTGTGTCTCGCCGGTCGAGTTCACAATCACAAGTGACCAAAAAGTAAAGCCGGTTCGGCTTTTGACTCCAGAACAACACACGAAATGACTCACCCGGGTATAAAGACTGTCAAACGAAAGCTTCACGTGGTCGCGGTGATTGTAGTGACTTGTGTTTAGATGCCGGTAGCGGTTCGGCGCGAAGAGGGGTCTGATGCCAGACAAAAATATGCAGAGTTGATGCCAACCAAAACAGAAAAGTTCTGGGTATGGGCCGAGTTCTTGTCTTGTTGCGGGAAGTGGAAGGATCCCCGTTGACAGCAGCGAAGTGAACGCCGGTTGGCCGATCCAATGTAAACGTCAGCAGTCAAACTCTGCGTGTTTTATACGGGCACTTCCACCAACCGGCACGGCAGTAGAAACCATTGCGTAGGGGATGCTCATTAGCATAATACGTTCTGCTCAGAGCTCGAGCGCAACCAATGGTTTTGCTGAAAGCCTGAATCCACTGTCGTAGGCGAATTTTATGGACAAATTGGATTTTGCGGATTTTGAAAGTTTATTTTATTCTGTATCTCTGGATGATTTCCTAAATAATTTTATACACGGCATACTATTTCGTTACACGGTAAAGTTGAACCAAACCAAACAAAACAAAACAACACCAAACAAAACCGAACTGAACATGATGAAAAGAAAGCCTATATTTAAATGTTTAGCTTAATTTGAATTAACTTTCATAGGTATACTTATTTTTATATACATTGTATAATATTCGCTCTTTGCACGCATTGCCATATCGGAACCAAACCGAGGCTGTACATGCGAAACAAAGAATATTTCGTGCCTGACTATAGGTGGGTTCCTCCTTCCATAATGTCGAACACCTGCTAGTGAAGACTCGCTATCAATCAACTGTTCACAATTGCCTATAGACTTTGACCAATTGGTACATTTTACACGGATAATGTTGCAAATGTCAGTCGTTTTTCTTATTAGGTGAAAGCGTAGCAAACCACGCCAGTAATTCCTTGTACTGCAAAGCAGAGTTCCACAAGGGGACACTGTTCACCGTGAGCGCACGCCTCATCCGGCCGACAGTGACCGGCGTCGCTGTTCGACTTTCCCGGCGCGCGACATTTTAACAGCTGGTCGCCTTCCAAGCCGGTTAGTACACACCTGGGGGGTTTAACAAACAACACTTACTGCTGGAATTATTTTTTACCATCCTCGGGGCACAGAACGGTCTGGCACTACTGACCGTAAATAAGCAACTTCAAGTACCCGCCCTCGGCATATTACGCCTTTCCCTGATCCCAGCAAAGACTCAACACCAGCTTTTGAAAGACCATTGAGCAAGGAATCTATTATTAAAGCAAAGTGGGGGACACCATTATAATACAAAGTTTAAAAAACGCGAATAAGTGATGTTGAACCAAATAGAAGTCGAAAAACTATTGTTTCTCCTCCTCCTGCTGCTGCCCCCTCCTGCTCCACCCCCTTATCCTCCTCCGAGTCCTCCGAGCCCGCCCACAAGGTGGGACCAAGCCATCAGCTTTTGGAATGGGAAAATCACAGCTTTTTTTTTAAAATGAGGACAGGAACCTTTCTTTTAATCATGACAGCGCTCGGAAATATTTGGACAATTTTAAGGTGGACTGAAATCCACAACTTAAAAACACCGGCTCACCTAACACCATCAAAGACAGTGTAACGTCAACAGATATGACGCTTTAAAACCAATAGGCCACGTTTATGACCTCAAAACCAGCCAGCAATTAGAGCTAGAACATTCCCAACACGATTCTTTTACGAAGGTATGCATAATGGCAGAGCGGTGACAGCGCCACCAAGAGACAGACTTCACTCGGATATCCTTTCGTCTTTTTGAAAATGCATTCAGTTTTCATGAACTAAGCACAAAAGAAAGACGTTTGAAAGGAGTATCAAAATGTGACGCACCAGCTCTTTGTATAACACTGGTGTATGCAATAATAGTGATACGTATCTGATGAACAGCGCCATCTATTGCAAAATGACATCACATTTTCCCCTCCATTATTAAAATTAGAAAAAATCTCGTTTTATGCTATACTCCTCGGATGTAAGATCTTCATGCAGCCTCGACTATACGTGCCTCCTTACACACAGATGAAGACCCTAATGACATAGAGCAAAGGAAACTGATTTAATTCTATCAAGTTCTGCACCACTACTTACGGGGCTACAGAGTGTGTTTCTGCATTGTTGGGCAATAGAGGACATGTCCACATTTCCCGAAGGTCTACAATTGACGATCGTGTACAAAACATATAGGAGGTCTTCTTAAAAATTTAAAGTACAAACAAGAGGGACAATAAGGGTTCCACGATTGCAGGTATATACACACTAAGTGAGCGAACATGCCTTCAGATGGTAGGTATCTTTCACACAGTCGGACATTTCAAGACCACAAAACACGGAAAGTGCATCATCTTCTTAAAAAAAAAAAAAAAAAGATCCGGCAAAGGCACCAGTCTGATGGTCCACCTGTCCCCGGTTGTTTTTAATTAAATTGCCGGGTCCACAAGTGCCCGTCCACATTACCTCTCCATCAAAGTGGCTGTTACTGTACCCCAAGGGCTCAAATTGTCGTTCGCCTGGACTTCAACTGATCGTTCGTGAAGGGGGAAGAATATATTTTTAACCTTACGAGTGCCAATAACAGTGACTCCACTGACATGTCAACTCGGACAACCACAGACGAGTTTTGGCAGGGACACAGGTGGTTCTTACGTCAACCAGTCAATTTGGCTAAACTTTAATTTAAAAGAAATTGCACATTCGGTGGGCCAAAGATGATGACCGTTATGAACTGGACATTGAACCTTTTGAAATTGCAATTTCATTATCAGGCAACAAGCAGTCTGTGTTAACTCCCATGTTTGTTTCTTCCAGAGAAAGTTATCTCATGACAAATGTGTTTTTTTTTTTAATCTCTTTAACTAAGTTATCTGTCATTCATATCAAGGGTTTCGGAAAATAGCCTCTCTTTGAATATGCAGTACATCCGCAGAAGTTGTTTATTTACTTCTTTAAATGTATTAAATACATATCGTCCGCGCTCCATTTAAATCGATGTCTTTCAAGCATACGGGCCCAATTTTACTTTGCCGTTTAGCCTCCAAAATTCACCAACGCACTTTCTTAACCGAAATTTCCGCGACCAACACGGGCAACCAAAACGCCTCCGGCATTTGTTTTTTTGTTGGCTATTTCACGTACACATTTAGCTTTAATCACGCTGAGACATCGTCCAGACTATAACGTCATCACGGCGCTACCTTGCAGGTTAGCCGGGGCTTTATCTGCCCGGCTTCAGGTGGATAGACTCGGCAAATTCCCTATTTCCGGGTTCCTTGAATATAATTAGCCCCCATCACAAAGATTTGTTTACTTCATTACAGCCGATCGATCGGCGTTATGATCTTTTTGTTTTGATATGGGATTGGGGTTTCAAGTTAGTAAAGGTCACTGTTAAACCTTACCCTAATGAGAGAGGTTTTTTGGCCTTTCGGAAACTGTGGTGAGGGGTACCCGGCCCTCAGACCTCAGTCGCACAATAAAAATTGTATTGACTTTTTTTTGGCAGTTGTAGTGCAGGTAGTTGGGTTAGTCCAAGTATAGCATTGTGTTATAATTATCATTAACAACTCACATAATTCGGGCGATTTTATAATATAAAACGTCCGTGAAACAACTTGAACAATATTGTATAAAACCTCCTGAGAAAACAAATCTACAACTGTATAATATATTTCCCCGAGCAAATCCTTGGGGTTTTTTTCTTTCAGAGATTTCGATCTTTTGAAAGTTTGCTGCGAGGAAGGATTACCTAACAATTCGTAATCCCAACTTACAAGTTATCTCCTGACAAACAGTGGGAAGTGCGGTGGCTGAGTTTCCCGTTCTTATAGGCCTACTGAGCCACAGACCGACTGTCGCCCGTGTTTCCCCCGGACCTTCCCGTGCTCCCAGCGGACGTTACCCTTCAGGCCTAAACCGTCTTTGCCCGCTTTTTAGGGCTCACATATCCAAGCTCACATCCACCGATTACAAACCGAAATCCCTCCTGAACAGTCACAGCACTAGTGCTTCCCAGTGGCAAAATTTGGTGGCCAAAGTAATGTTTGTGTCGAATGTTTTAAGCTCTATATATAGAACTACCCGCTCCGTTCACAAGTACCCCCTCACCGGCAAAGAAAGTACAGATGGGGGTGACCTACCGACGCCGTTGCTGGGTAAAAGGGCGCCCTCTTTCGTCGGCGCACGGAGCCCATACCCGATAGTTTGTTGAAATTATCGAGAAATCGCTAGCGCTTCAGTGTATCCAGTGGACACTCGGCAAAAAATGGACTCTGTCCAGCAACGGTAGGGGGCGCTGTGTAGCCTACTCAGACTGAGAGCTCCTTGGTAGTGCAATATAAATATGGTATTCCTTAGAGGAAATCATGAATATGCATGTATGCGTCGTCATCAGTGACCTCGGTACGGCCGGTGTGACGCAAGCCTACTGTAATAAAACGCGCACTTTCATAAACTAAACCATGGGCGTCGCAAGGATTTTTTTCGTGGGGGGGGGGGAGTACATTTTCCCCCAAGATCCTTGTACCTTCTCTAACATAGTTTCAATTTATCATTACTTTTGGGGCGAGGGTAGGCGGGGGACATCTGCCACCCCACCCCCATGGACACCCCTGTAGACGCCCATTTTGTTAAATGTGTATTAAATTAATAGCAAATATGACATTTTTTCCTCTCCTTTTTTGTGGGCTTTTACAGGAGGGCGAAGGGGGCAAGCGCCCCCCCCCGCCCCATCCTAGCGACGCCCATAAACTCAACTCTTGCAAACCAATCAGTGATGATAATTCAGACCGTGCATATTCATAACTACCGCTGGGGCGACGACTTCCAAGCGGCTTTGAACCAATGCCAAGGGGAACCGTAGTCGGAAGCATTTTATCCGGAAAACAATCGTATAGGCCTTCATTGAAGAAACAAACAGCTGTGCGACTTATATAACGAAACAAATACGATTCCCCACCAGCCCAAGCTTTCAAAGCAATATTCAAACATGTCTATTTTAAAACAAGGTCAAAAAACAGACGCCATTTTTAAAAATATGAATAGTCGTAGTTTTCCATACATTATTTATTTTAGTAATACACCTTCAAAAACGACCTGAAAAGCCCTGCATAGAATAAATTAAAATCAGTACACTGGTTCATAGCAGTGGATAAAATGTGAAGAAAAATCCACTCGGTCAAAAAAAATAGTTATTGGAAATCATTCCTCGTGTAAGAATGCGATATATATCACCAATGTCTGTCAGTACTGAGCCAGAGGCAGCTGCAAATGATTCATTTTCTTAGAAACCATAACTGATTTGAAAACAGGTATCTATCATTGAGATCTACAAAAAAAATTATTCAACAATCTTTGTTATAATATCGCCTATCATACACCAAATGGTCAAAATTTAATAATGCTTTACTCAAACCACTCTTCCATTTATCAGCCTAAAGCCCTTTTTGTCTTTATATGGGGTCTACGTAAGTGCACAAAGTCCTTACAAATATATTATCATTAACTGTCATCATCATCCGTCATAGTGCCCAATCAAAAACTGTGTTTGTTTCATAGTCGGAAAGAAATTGCGGTAAAGTGTCCTGCTCTGGGACATTAAAAGACAACGGGGTTCCATCAAGGGGTAAAAATGAAGGTTAATGTGCAGAGCGTGCCAAAAACTGTGCAACATTCAGAAAACAAATATTTAAAAACGATTTTTCTTCAATGAAATTATATATAACATTAAAGCCTGACTATTTCTCAATCCACTCCTTTTTACCCCATTCCATGTTGGGTCCCTAGATCCAGAATTACAATCAATTAAAGAGAAAAGTATGTAAATTTTACTTGGGCTACTCTCATCTGGACAAAAGCATTGAATAGGCATTGAAGGGGCATTGAAGTTGGTGACATCACAGGTGAAAGTGGCCCAAGTACAATGTACACCCTTTCACTTAACTGATTGTATTTCTGGATCAAGGGACCCAAATGGAATGGAGTAAAAAGGAGTGGATTGAGAAACAGTCAGGCTTTAATTATGTAATATATAATTTCATTGAAAATTTTTTTAACAGTTTTAATTATTTGTTTTCTGAAGGTTGCACTTGTTTAGAACACTCTGTATTGTCTTTTTGTATCTTGTAAAAATATTAATGCATAAAGTGGTAATCCAATACACTGCAAAAACTGTAGTGTTAATTTAACACCATTCGGTATCTATATAGGACAACACCAGTAAAATTTAACACCAGATGGTCCTACATAGATACCAATGGTGTAAATTTAACACTGTAGTTTTTGCAGTGTATAACCAAGGTTAACATTTAAGTAATTAAAATAGAGAGGAGTGTACTACATGTTAAAAAGAAGGGTGTTTCTATATCTTTTAAAAAAATGACAAAGAAAAGTTCAAATAGATACTGAAAAGTTGATAAAATACATGCACCAACCTTATCCCGGTGGTATTTAATGCGTCATCAAATTATACATTATCTGGATACGAAGGAATTTCAAAGATTTCATACAGTTTGGGTATCGTAAAGCGACCTATAATAAATCCCTATAGAAACGCAAGTGCACTGTAAAACCCAAACTAGAAAAGAAAGGGATCAAAGGTCGAAAATGCATGAAAAATTCGTACTATCATTAAAATATATATATTTTGTGAATTTATTTTCTAGTGCCTAAATCGTGTTATTATGATTTATATGAACAAAATGTAGAAGTTATCTTACACAGTTTTACGAAATTAAATAAACCCTGGAAGCTCTGATACCATCTTAATCTAATAAAACGTTAAAACGACTTTTTTTAGTTAGTCATCTGCTCATGTTACTTACATATTTATAATTATTTACAAAGCTGTGCATATTATTATTATTTTTTGTATAGGTACAAGTTATTATACTATCGTGGTAAAAAAAACTGGAATGAGGAAAACAATTAAAATAAACTCATAATGAAGTTACTTAACTCTAAAGGCACACCAGCCGTTAGACTGGAGTATACCTGTTTACCAGTACTTCAATTGTAACACCCAAAGCAACCGATCCTCAGCACGCCAGGCCTTGCAGACCAGTGATAAGTATCAACCCTTGAACAATTAGTTCTGTGAGTGGTACAAGATTCGCACCGTGTATTCACTTCACCGGGTTTAAATAACGTGGCGCTCGTATTTGTGGAAAAGATCCCGATAATGCATGTACTTTCATGGATTTATCGGGTATAATTCTTGATCTTGGGTTTTCTGGGGGAAGAAATGAATGAAGAATGACATTGTCAGACGTTTATTTGTTACTTAAAAGCGCACTGAATGAGTTATTTTTAAAAACAATATCAAGTGCTAAAAAAATCCCGCAACTTCTCCACTCCCTTGCGACTATTTGTGCGTAAGAGCAAGAGTCTAATACAACGTTCAAGCAGCTTCCAACTTTGTCCCCGTGACTTTGGTAAGTATTCAGCGGGAGTTACAGAATGTTCTGGCCGGTGCTCGAATCCACGCACGTTGGCACTTAAAACTGCGACTGTTTTGCATTTCGCGGACCTCAAGATCGAGTCTTTAATGTTTGATTTGAACAACCAGCTGATGCAAATAAAGCCTACGGCTTGAAGTCATTGTACTGGAATCTGGTCATTTCAACGTCTTCTCCGTCTTTAGGCGCAGGTGGACTACCCCAGAGGAAGGAGGTTCGCTTGGGCGGCATTTTTTTATGCTTGCCCTTGGGTCTGAGGGCTACGTTCATTTGAGTGCTTGCATCCACGTCGTCCTCAGGGTCACTCGGGCTGTCTGAGTCTCCTGGACCGAGATGGGGCCCGCCAACTTCCCCGTCCACTGAGTCTTGGGACTGGAAGCTATTGTTTGGGGAGGCTATGCCAGAGGTGCTCTGAGAGTCACCGCTGTTGTCTTGCAGGGGCGGGGGCCGCACCATGCCCTGAACACCACTCTCGTCCAGGTGGAGAGCCCCGTTGTCGTGACCGCTCTGACCGGCGAAGCTCTTGACGCGCCGGGCCAGCTCCTTGGTGCCTTTCACCAGTGGCTCGTCCGATTCATCCTCGCTAGACGTTGTCTTGTTCCCGTTGGATTCAGGCTCTATGAGGCTTCCCTTCATCACTTCCATCTCCATCTCCTCATCGTTCATGTCCAGGGAGGCTTGGCTAACCAGCCTCCGGGGTGACCCCGGTGGGGCCGCCCCGAACACTTCCTCCGCGTCCTCCCCATCTTGATCCTCCTCTATATCTTCACGCACTCTCTCTTTCCTAGATGCTGTGGAGCTCAGGCTCTGTCCCACCAGTTCCTGCAACCGGCGTTTCCTGGAGGATCTCTTCATTTCGTTGACGGCGCTGACGACATTCTTTACGTTTTTCATCTTGAGGAAGTCCGGCAAAGCGTAATCCTCCTCCTGGATTGGTTCACACTTGAGAGGCACGTGCATGGTCTCCCGATGCTGGGGACTCCGCTTGTTCTTCTTGCCCTTCCTCAGCAAGTAGGAGGGCACTCTCTCCAGCTGGGGCGAGCCGCTAGACGCGGAAGAGATCGTAGACACCGAGAAGCTACCGACTATACTCCCCATGGACACCGCTTTCGTCTTCCTCTCCTCCCCGTCTTTCTTGTCGCCAACCCCGCCGACCCCGCCGGCCCCGCCGGCCTTGCCGGCCCCGCCGGCCGCCTTCGGCTGCTGGCCGACGCCACCTTTCAGGATCTCTAGGATCTCGTAGCGGAAGGCCGAGATGTCCTGCTTGATCTCGTTCAGGTCGTCTTCACTGACTCCCTCAGCCCGCTCGCCTCGCCGGCTGTTGTTCAGGTACCTCTTAATGAGGTTCTTCATAACTTTCTGTAAAGACAAAATCGTGGCAAAATGATTGAGAGATCACTGTTTTGGGGACTACAGCGAATTCTAGGGAACGGATCTGTATCGAGTCTTTTAAAAACTGGAAATTGATCCGATTAGTGGAGCATAAGTCAGAGTAGTTCCGGTTGGATTTCATTTTTGTTTCTCACAACAGTTATAGAAATGCAACTCTTTTATCTGAAACAGGAAATCATGCTTAACCGACCTCTAAAACCCCTGTCATGTTTTTTGAGCACTTCGTCTTAAATTGAACATTGAGTTGCTTGGCACCAAATATCCGAAAAACGATGTATAGATATTTTCTAGGAAAAGAAAACAATTTAACAGCCAAAATGTGATGGAAACGATAAAGCTTGTGACAGTTCTTTTTTTAGAGCACATTAAATGTTTAACATTGTTTTATGATATGCAGTTCCATGAAACTTTGTTAAAAAAACAACCCACTGAACAGGACTTGTGTAAAAGAGGATTATATACAAACAAGGAATGTTTATGTGTGATATGGGAAGAATAATTTCACGAGGTGATGACAGATGGAATGTTCCATTCCAAGCGGCGAAAACGGAATATTTCATCTGTCACCGAATACAATTACTCTTTCCATTACATTCATTATTTGTTTTATACAACACCTGAATAAGTCCTCGTCATCTGATTGGCCAGAGCCACCAACAGTTTAACCGTACAATGGAGCTTCTATCAACTGTGGAATTAAACTAGTTTTTTTATGGTGCAATGCTGCTAGGCCGTGGGTGGGGACGAATTATTCAATGACATGTGATCAACGACCCACCACTCAGATGACGGGGATTTATTCAGGCGTTGAATGATATGGAAAATCGACAGTAATAAAAGACTATCCTCTCCATCTTAATATTTGTTCGTGTATGTGATATTTTAGTAAGGATAACAAACAAATCTGTCAGAAACATCTCGAATGTTTTGCATACCTGGTATTCCTCATCATTTAGTCTTCGTCTCTGCGCTAAATTGAGCTGAAATGGGAACACATAAAATACCCTTTAGTAACAAGTCGAGAAAGGGACGCGGTAAAGGGGCCGCGGAACATTAACAACATTTCCATCACCCGTTGCACGCGAGATCAAATCCTCTCTGAAGGTCGCCGTCGTAACGTGTACAACATTCGCGGAAACATCTCATCAGATTCAGGATATCGACCTGGGCGTGAGTTATCCTCCAGGGTTTCCGATATCTCTATCATCATCTCAAGTCACCATCCTTAAGAACCTTCCAAGACAATTATGGCCGGATATGTTTCAGGAAAAGACAACCCAGATGCATATCAATGTAGTGCTTCCGTTTCTATGCTTTCATTCCTTTTGCACGCCCTAGCGCCAGGAAGAAACACAGTTTAAAAAAAGGGAATATTTTCGGAATTTGTTGATTTGAATCCTGAAGTCTTTATAACTGTTCTAAGCTTCAACTGAAAATGCTTACAGTTATTTAGGGTCAGCTAGATGCAACTAAGGATATCAGTCAAATATTTGTATCTATAGATGAGAATTCTAGTAGAATAATCAAGCGGTTGTGTGCTCTTCGAAGCAAGCAGCATGATATGCAGTCAGCTCTCTAGAATTAAATAAAGCAGTCAATGTCTTAACTTTGCTGTTACAGAGTGCAGCTAGCTTTGTAAAACGCCAGTGCATTGTTCTGAAGGTCGCAGACTACAAACCTGTTTTGGTCCGAATTTTTTAATTCAATCGAAACTCTCCTTGTAAATCATCAAGTGTAAAGAGTGTCTAATTTATTTCATTCACAGGCCATTTTTCCAAAGCTCGGTTTCTTCTTCAGCATTGGCTTCACGTGTGGTTCCCAAATCATTTAAAAGCAATAATTTACTGTTTAATGCATTTGGAAATACCCGAACCTTATGTGCACATTTCATAGGATTTGATGTTCATGAAAGAGACTTGGACCTATACTGAGCTCCCCCGAATCGCCTACAGCCGAACCGCAGACGAAACCAAACAATTTGGAAAAACCATCTTCAAGTATACCAAATAAAACTCATCAGAGCTGGTTCATACCTTGGTAACGTTCCTGTTTTCCGGTTTCGGCTTTAGTTTCTTCTTGCAGGTGAGTCTGTATATCTTCCGGAAGATGTAGTACAAGCTCTTCGGTGAGGGGATGATGTTGAACGGGACGGGGAGCGTCTCCCCTTCATCGAAGTAGCTCATCCAGAGTTTGGAGCGGGCAAATTTCCACTCCATGTCCGATTGCATCTGTTAGCCAGAGAGGAAGAAAAAACAATGGAAATTGCTGCTTGACAATGATACACTGCCTGAAACAAACGGCAGGGAATATCGATCGCACAGTGCTGGTATGCATGGGAGCACGCGGGCTATTCGAATGACCCATGCTTACGGGCATGTGTGCCTGAGGTTAGCGATTTCTCCTCGCGTGTTTCTTTAAATTTGCAATTTTTCAAACTGCATAATTTTCATAAACCGTTGTCAGTATGGACGATTTATAGTCTTTGGTAGCAAACGGGGTATCAAAATGTAGCTAACAACATTCCTCAAAGGTCTATATGACAAATCATTAGACGATCAAATTCAAAATTATGACCCCTCCATTGAGTGTGAACTTTCTTTTTTGGGCAGTGTTTAGAATAAATCCAAAGATTTGTGGGACTTGGAGGATTATGTCCGTTTGACGATTTTAACATTGGGTTCATTAGATTCTTCTTAACTTAATTATTTACAATTTATAAAGAATTATTATTTTACAATGACTGTTAATACCACGTCTGTATAAAAGGTTCCTTAAATGCTTATCGTGAGCACGAAACTCAAGGAAAAAAAATTAAAATCGTGTGAAATAAAATGATTGGGCTGATTTGAGTTGACTGAAGTCCACCTATCGTCTGACACATCTTCAGGCGGAAAGAGACTCACTCGTTTTAAGAGAAGACGAAAGAAGGGCACGGATTATGATCGCCAAAACGGGGCAAGAGATTTAAACATGAGCTTATCTCGAGATCAAAATGATTCATGATGTGATAACAAATATTTCAACAGGTTGATAAGCAAAAGCGCACTCTCACGCTTCATGCAGCAGATTCAAGAAGCTGAGGTTCAGAAAAACACCCAAGTACACCAACGCGGTAATAAATTAGAAACATTTGGTATGCGTGATTACTTCATCACATAAATAAGGAAGTCGAGCATTTATTCCAAAGAATGGCACGAGATGTTGTCACAACTTATACAAACTTGAAGACCTACAGAATCTGTCATCAGTAGCTTGTGCACGGAAGTGTAACTAGTTATCTGAACTTTTTCTTCTCAAATAGGGAATTACTTATTTGCCATTGCTACGAAAGCTTGTACAAGGTTTTACCTTAAGTTGATCATTAAAGAGCTTGAACTCGATTCTCCCTCAATACTAACGAGGATATCCAGCACTACGTCAGCTATTTTATTGATTTTTTGTTTAATTCTGTTTGGCAATGCAACGCAGGTTTCTATAAAAGTGACAAGGCATTTAGCTCGGAAGCCCAAAGAAAACCTACAAGGAGAAGATGTTCATGTTTAGAAATACGAGGAAAAACGCCAGGGATTGGAACCAGGATGACTCAGGTGAAAGACGAGGGAATTGGGCCCATGGTTCGAGTACATCCTTAGTGTACATCAGGCTCTCATGATGGCGGATCGCCATTGAGAGTTTAAATCTACCAGATTCGATTACCAAAGATCTACGATTACCAAAGATTTGCGTCGTTTGCCAAAATGACCCAAGACGTACGGGTCGAAACAAATTTGAATAGTGCACTGCGCTCCGCGTTCCGTAAACTCGTGCGGTGGCATATTAAGCCAATCACACAACAGGAAAAGCAGGATCGTGGAACCGTATTGCAACCAATAAGATTTAGTAATCAATGAGGGCGCTATACCTCTCCTCAACAAGGACCTTTATCCATTTCATATACTTTCTACGATCCTCATTATGATAATTCGAGACTTTGGTTAATTAAGCCTACACTGACTACTGTGCAAATTGAATTCCCAAGATCACATGAGCACACGCACGCTGACCTGTATTTTCTGGAAGGAATCGTTCATCATGGCAATCAGCAGGTTGAGCAGGACTATAATGGTGGTGATGCAGTAGACACCGAACATGGTGGCCCCGATAAACTCGGTCACGTTGTGGCCATACTCCGGCTTGACCTTGGTGTTGGACAAGTCGGTCAGGCCGAAGAGGGCCCAGATCAGCGCCTGTAGCGTCTGGAAGACACTGGGGATGGAGGGGAAAAAAGACGGGTCATTGTTCCTGGATTACAAACACAAGCTGCCTAAGAAACCTTCACAAAGGAATATGTAAAATGCAGGCCAGATTGCTGCCTTGTCGCCAGTCAAATGATAGTTGTTCTGATTTGATAATTTGTTTTTTTTAATCTTTTATTTTTTGTTTCTATAATTTTGAAGTTCTAATTTATCTGTAATTCCAATTATTACTTGTGATACATTTTCTATTTAAGTTCATGTAATAACCATGCAATTCAGATTTCAGCTGCGAATTGGTCTAGATATGAAATCAATTTAATTCAATTCAATTCAATAATAGTTTATTATAATATCCACCTTTAGCAACGCAAGGTCGAATTGTGGTTGGGTTTACAACATTATCAAAACATCAAAGGACAATATAAGACGTAAAACAAACTAATATGTACTTACTCAGTGAAAGCGTTATTGGGATTGTCACAGGCAACACCGAAGCACTGGCCTTCGTCGACCTCCACTTGGTAGACCCAGTAGAGCTGGTTCAGGCCGGCGCCGAAGGCGAACAGGACCAGCCCCATCAGGAAGAGAAACTTGATGATGTCCTCCACCATCCGGCCCAGGGAGATCTGCAGAGGCCCCAGCTGCGAGTTGGCTGTGAAGAAGTAGACAACGCGCAGCATGCTGCCCAGGGGAATATTAAAAAAAAATACTCCGGTAAGTTGTTTCTTCCTATTCTACTTGGGAGAACTTGGGAAAACTTCAAGACGTATAGGATCATTTGCATTTATTCCGGAAGTAACATAACGATGTATTAGCAAAAACGTTTACTTGGATTACAGATCGAACTGGTACTAAACATCTCGTGAAATGATCGTGTCTGGCTTGCTGTCATATAGCAGAAAACAAGACATATACAGTAGAATCTCGATAAGTCAAACTCTGATAACTCAAAACAACTGTTAAGTCAAACAAAGAATCCATTCCCTTCGGTAGTCCAACAATGCTATACAACCCTGCTTAACTCAAAACTCTGCTCAAGTCAAATTTTGAATCAGTTCCCTTGACGTTTGACTTATCGAGATTTCACTGTAGGAGATTTCCGACGATCAGTCTGATTTTTCAGAATAAAGAGTGCCATCGACAAAATCGTGTTTCGTGAACAAAGCTTGTGCATAGTTTTTTACTGATTTCTCGGAAAGTGTCATATCCACGGAGCTGTCACCTCAACAGGTTGTAGTTGTGATCAGCCTTCTTATGATTTTGAGTGGTTTAATTATTGGAAACGAACAAACAGAAGGAGGCTCTGCGAAGAATCAATGTGAGGAGATTTCTTCTCACCTGAATATATTGGCCACTGCGAAGGTTGCCTCGGCCATAAGCGTCGGGTCCCACTGGTCCCATTCTTCGCGTAGTTGGATGAGTGGGCCGTGGGCTTTATTTTCTATGATCCGTAACTATGATAGAACGAAAAGACAAACACCAAGAAATCAGACTGATAAAATCAAACTGCAAAAACATTACGAAATAATCTCACCTGCAGCTTTTTTTAATGACCCTCAATAAAAAGCAATAATAAGTCTTTCAAGTTGTGAAGAACTTACTTCAGTCATTTCAAAAACCACAAGCTGATAGTTCTAGCTTTTGATTTTTAACTTTTCTTTGACATTTTTCGTCAATAAGCTTTGGTGTAGTAAGCTTATTTGATATCGAGTCTTTGGTATGTTCTCGTAAATGCTGGTAATAAGTTCTCAAGATTGAATAAAGTGACGCCAAAACTTGATAACAAAATAACATCAGCTTTGTTTGCCATAAACAAACCCGACATACGCTACCTATACGTCTAAGCTAAAATGAGAGTTTTCAAATGTAGGTGTTCCTGAAAAAAGGAAAAAAGAAATAGACTGTACAGCGGTTACAACGTGAAATTTGCTCCAACCGGTTTTGACATTACTATGCAAAAAAAAAAACCTAATGCCATTGCAACGAGTATTAAAAATAAGATGAAATGAGTACCAAATTTTTTCCACTGCTTACATTTACATACGCAGTTACCCGAAGACCTATAACCGTTATGTACAACGTGTTGGTCACAAAGTCGAGTGAGTTCCACCAATCTCGCTGGTACTGCTGCAAGCCCATGTCCCATAGCTGTTTCACCTCCGCCCAAAGATAACCTAGGTTTGAAAAAAATGGAGAAACAAGAACAAAATATGAATTTCTTTCATGAAGAACAAAATACATCAAAAAATGGGGAACAGCAAAACTGGTAAAAAAAAACCCAGCGGCGTTTCTTAAACACACTTAAGAAAAATATATGCTGAAAAGCTCTTTTTTATTTCTTCTTATTAGGGCCTGCTGCACCAAATTACTACTGTTTGCTTATTGGAGTACCAATATTCTAAGCTTTCGGGAGAATTTGCCCAAAAATTGTAGGCAATTTGGCATTGTTGTGTCATTGTTGAACAAATACATTGAAAAAATGTTTATCACATTTATCAAAGGAGGCTTCTTCAATTGGAAAGGCGATTTTTTTTATATCTGCGCAGTGTTGATTAATACGAAGCTCTTTTTAAAAGAAATAAGGTCCCATGCATGGTAATTTTTTAATGCAATCCTTGAAAATGCACCTTCGTATCCCATTTAACCTTATGTTCAATTTTCATCTTGCCATTTTTATGTGCGTTCTGCTGCCTTTTTAATTTTTATGCTAATGATAATTTCCACATCCAAGAGCAAAGGTGTGATGCCATTTAGGCAGAAAACTCAATATTACAGCTATTTGAGCACAAAAATTGGCCAGAACTTTGGATGTTTTGCCATCGTAAATTTTCTTTTCGTTGGTGATTCGTTATTGTTTCGGTACATGACAGTATAAAGCCAATGAGCAAAGTTTTTCTCACAAGTGTTTTCGATGAGCAAAGTTTGGGTTCTCAATTTGAACAGAAAACACCTAACTTAAAGTGAACAGCGTATTCCTGAAAATGACATCACAGCAACAGCGACCTCATTGGACAAGAAAAGCATGGACAATTTTTAACGTTCATAAAAAAGCACTTTTCGATACAATTAAACAAAAAGAGGTGTCATGTAGTTTTCACACATTAAAGAGTAGAAAATTGCACAAAATATGTTCCCAAGTAAAATAAATTAAAAAAAAAAATTATTACCTAAAACCCACAAGACGATTAATATTTCAATGTCCGAGGGTGCAGGCGCCCTCTCGTTGACCCGTTTATTGGGCTTCTGGCCGGCCAGGTCCGGCAGCGACGCCATGATGAGAAGCACCAGGAAAACCAGATAGGTGGCGCTGTGGCACATGAACTTGAGGAAGGGAAGACGGAGGATCTTGCCCAGGCGGGTGCGGGGTGCCAGGAGATAGACCAGGGAAAGCAAGGGGAAGGACAGGCCCACGAAGAAGCTGATGAGAAGCTTGACCGTGAAGTGCTGGCGGCGCCAGCCGGGTAGCCCCTGGTACCAGACCTCGGCGATCAGCTGCTGGCAGTTGGGGTGGGCGACGAACTGTGTGGCCGGTAAGGAAAAAGTTAGAAAAACATGAAAAATCCATTTTTTTTTTTTTAAGATGAGACACTGAAGTACACGTGATCGAGGCGAGGATCCAGGTTTGGAGTGAAGTTTAGCAGCCAAGAGGGGGGTTTAAGAGGCAGATGCTGTATTTCTCGATCTGCACGACTAGTTTCCTATTATTTGTGGCCCAATTAAGGATGGGTTTAACCCCGCCCCACCCCCGTCAGATCCACCACTGGACATCACCCCTTATCCTGCCGCTTCCTTTAAAATCCTGCGGAAGGTTTAGGAAGATTTCACAATATTGAGGTAGGTTGAGCCACTTTTACTTGAAATGAGGCTTAATGCTACAACACTGCATACTTTCAGTCCGAAGGATGTGGTATTGGTTCACCACACAGGAGCGGGCTTGGAGGAGTTCAGGACGATTCTATACACAAAAAAAGCCGACGAGGTAGGATTACATCATTCTGATATCGTTTCTGTAAAGGCGTGGAAGACAAAAAACTTGGAAACGCACAAAAAGTATGGGTCCCGCGAAAAGAAGCTTTTATTATATCCATGTAATTTATATGACATTCACTTGAATTTGTTGTTTTTGTTTTTGTTTTTTGTTTGCTTGAGACTGATTTCGCTTTATCTTGTGGGTTGTCAACGTGAAGTAAGCGAGTACGCAAATACCGTTCAAGTGGATCAACTACATTTTGTTTTTTTGTCTTTTCTCAGACCATCAAAATAATTGCCCTAAAATTGACTAACTGTGGATCGTGTATGATATTCCTATGTGATTTCCGTTTTCCAGTGTTTAAGGACTGCGAATGAACAGTTTATAAAAATATCCTGCAACCTATGTGATTGCCGCCCTCTCGCGACCACGAAACAAAATGTGTGCAGTCAATAAAGCGGTTATTGCGCCCTCACTCTGAACACAAAATCGAAGGCGCATTTCCTCAAAGTTCATCGTTAGTGATTTATAAATATACTGAGCTTATAAGCACGTTCGATGACAGAGGTGTAAACATGCAGATGATGGGCAGCGTGTGCTATTAAAAAAATCCTGCTAGTCAATTTCCTGCAGGATATTAGTATCGCCGCCGCATAATTATTCAAATCAAAAGGTGTGGTACGAAAAAAAATGCTGGTACATGTACAAACCTGTACCTGGCGTGACAGCTAGTTTTGAAAATGGCGACTGCATAATTGTGTTGTTAGTTTTTAGGCTTGAAAACTACACCAGAATATATTTATTCAAAACATCAAAACTGCTTTGTGACATGTTTGGGTCATGTGGCATGTTGGGGCTGGGCTACTGATACAATTGATACAGTTTGGTTGAAATCGGTGAAAATGTGTAGGAGCAATATTATAGCCAATGTCAACGTTTGTTACTAACTAACTAATAGACAAACGGAGACAGGATTTGTTGAGTTGCTATCCCACAGCTAAAAATTTTGTACGATGGCCTGCATGGTGCCTTACGATTCCTTTCTTTTAATCGAAGACGATGTTTTCGAATAAGTTATTCTATTTTTTTTTGGATTTTCTGACATTCTATTGATGAGATCCTCCACAGTCGCATTGTTTTCCAAAAACAGCAGAGTTGAGAAGATGTAAAAACAATTATGATTAATTATGATCAATTATGATTACTATGCAAACGAAGCACAAGCGAAAATCCCGTTGACTGTTGTATATTCGATTGTCTTTTTCCTTTGTGCTTCAAAATGGCTAGAATGGCCTCGGGAAAATGCTATTTTTTTTGGTCCGCCCTTAGATTTGTATAAATCAAATAATCATGACAATTGTTCGATAAACACATTTTCCATGCATGGCCGTGGGGATGTTCAGCATCCGTCTTCAGCAGAAACTCCAGGCACCAATATAAATACCAGGAAATGAACATGTTGAGGGTGTTAAAGGGAATGTACAACATTTGCAAGCATCAAACAACAAAACTATCAAATTATCATGAAATACCTTACTGCATGGACTGTAAGTGAATGACAGTCTAAAGCACCCTTTAAAATCATGGCACCTGGTGTGCTGACATTTTTAAGAAAAGTGGTGGTATTTTTTTTTTCAAATGCTGACCCCAATTTACCATATTTATTAGTTAGACTGCATTTTGTTTACCTACGATTACACTATGAACGGGTACAAGCCAGCTAGACAAGTTCCCTGACCTTACAATTCCCAGACGTCTATAAATTGCTCCGTTTCATATTGAATGGGGTCAGGGAACCAGACTACAAGACCATGATTGTTTTTCGTGGCTTTTCCAACATCATACGAACACAAAACCTCAAACAAGTCAGTGTACCAATATTTGCTAAAAAATACTACCCCGCCAAAAAAAAAAATCCATCCATTTCTGAAAATTACAGCAAAAGCAAATGTTGTATATTCCCTTTTAAGAAAAAACGGCCAGCTGTGCAGCTGAATTTTTTTTATTAACTCCTGTTGTGAATGGAATTCGCTTGAAACTCCGGGAAATACCACGGGGATTTCCTGGTTAAACATCAACCCCAAAGCGGATTCAATATTGACAGAATAACATAACGCTGGTACCGGGTTCTATCGATTTAACATGGGCGTCAACAAAAACTACACATGTTTACCGAAGCTCACTATTCATGAGCGTACTTTGTTAAATTGACTTGTACAGGCCCCCCCCCCCCCCCCCCCAAAAAAAAGCGTTGTAAAATTTACCCCGGTGGAAATTTATATGAACTCATGTCGTGTGGTTCAATAAAGACACCACACGGTGTAAATTTTACACTACTTGCAGTGTACCTCAGCGAGACTATCTTGCTCTCTTCATTCTATTTTGTTTATTCATATAGTTTATTCACATAAAGTGATTTTGGATTTTGACATTCGAAAGGTGCCAGCCAACGCTTGGAGGCAGTAGATACGTTCTTTTCGAATGTGGTGTACAGAACACTGGTGCGCGTCCATTCGTCCAAGCTCTGCTCAATTGTCAGACCATGATAAACGATTTGTCATTCTCAGTTACCCAATAGAGTATACAAAGGGAACATAATCACCTTACAGGAAAGACAATTCCAGCATCTCGATGGCTGCGTTATTGCGATATCGTCATTAGCGTCATGGAACCCATTTGTTGCACAATGACTCTCCGCTACCTAATTACCAAACTCATTCAGAAAGCTATCGTCTTTCTCTTCCTTTTCCATGCGCTCCAAGGACACGATATATGCATCAAGGTATCGAATAATGTACGCGTATATCAAGTAACTGTTACTTTCAGTTTGGGTAATTATGCCGGGCGGCTGCATACATCTTTCCCCGTGAGAAACTGTTTACGGTCATTCGTGCGCAGAAATATCCATTTACAGATGGATCTACCACCGGGCTGAAATGGTGATGGCAGGCATGACGGATCATCACCGTAGAACAAAGCGAAATGAGGCGATTCTATTCCCCGTACAATTACGCTATAGTCTCGCTGTTCACTTGTGGCTTGTCATGTTTTGATACCAGAGGCCAGGCGGCAAGGCTGCACAAGATGAGAGGTACCGAATTGCCGATCGTTAACGGCCATTTCTGAGGGCAGAAGAGGTCATTACAGTACATCAGTCCTCCATTACCATTAGCTTGCTATGAGAAGGCCCGACATCTTGGCACCGCGTTGCCAATGCCAACAAGACTTGCTATTGTCCTTGCTCTATGGTATAAATCGCTACATGTACAGCAATACCATATATTCAAAAATAACCGAAAACGTATTCTTATGTTATTTTTTCAAATCTAATAACCGTTGAATCATGGGTTAAGCAGTTTTATAGTGAAAACGAGAAAAACAATCGTTTGTAAAATTAAAAGGCGAATACGAACTAGCATCCATACAAACATTGAATCAAAACTGGCATTCCAGAGTTAAAATTTCAAAATATATAAACCTAGCGAGAATCTTTTAACGGCATTTCAAATAAGGAACCGGCGTATTAGTTGGCTTCACATGTCCTCTGTACCAATGGGCTTTTATGAATTCAAATTTTACGATAATTTCTTTAAATGCCTTCAACGTTTTACAGAGTTACTATCTAACAACACATCCTCGGTTTTTGAATTCATGTTTTTTTCTTTTTTTCTTTTTGCCGTTAGCTATCGTCGTGTAAGTCTTTTGTCTTGTCTGTCTCGTCCGTGTGTCGTTATCAATATCATGTTGTTTTTCTGTTGTTAGTGTTGTCTGTAAGGGCTGTTTCCTACAAGCCTCGGCTTACTCAAACAGCCCCATAAATCGAAATAAGTTTATCATTTCTTCAAAGCGTATATTACTTTTATTATTTTTTTAAAGACATATTTATTGATTTTGTTATCTTGCTATTTACCAGATTTCTCTTATTTGTGGATGTATTCTCTAAAGGAGTATGGAATAAATGTCTTCTTGAATTGAATTGAAAAGGAACGTACAAATGTACGAAGATATCATAGAAATCGTGGTTACATTTTAATATCAAATTAAGCTGATCATTGAGCTCAGTCGCGGTTAAAATTTTGGAATCGTGGTCGCGACCCAAAGGCACAATCGTCCCGTCAAAAAAATTTACTCGTAGGCCTAATCAACTTCCCGACGGACGGTTGATCGAGTTGCTGACGTTTTATGTGGGAGATAACAGCAAAGCGCTCAGACGAACATTCCCATTTGATAGTGCGCTTTTAATGTTTTATCTAATAACATTCGTCTTCAATGCAGTATCCCGACGCACATTAGGCAGAGCCGCATTTTAATGACTTCGATGCTGTCGTCTGCAGGTAGTCATTCATTGATTTTTTTGTGTCAAAAACCGGACGCGAAAGCAGAATGAAAAGCAATTTCGAGAGTGTTTGAACGTAAAGACACGACGCGTGCCATATCGGTGCTCACCAACATTATTTTGTTCATGTCATTTGTTTTGATACTCATGTTTATGGTTAATGATCAATTAAGGTGTGTAGTTCTGTTCAATCAGGGGGGTGAGTGACCACTGATGTAAAGAGCTGAAAACACCTCAAAAAGGTGTAAACAAAATCTCCTATACTTTTGTACACAGCAAGCGAGGGGGAAAAAGCTGAAATTCCAAACAAACAAAAAAAGCTGAAATCAGCTTTAAAGCTGAGATTTCACACCCATGTCAATATATATAATTAATAACAAAACAAGTGTAACTGAATGTTTACTTTTGGAAAATAGCATAAAATAAATTTAAGAAATTATCTACAACTATTAAGGAAAATGACCAATAAACAAAATGACCCCAAAACCCCCAAAATATACGACTGAAACGGGATTTATTTTGAACCCTGAATTTTGGAATACCACACAAGTGGCCAACAAAGTGGTCAACAAACTTAGTGTTCTTAACACTGTTTAAAAAAAAATCACTCATAAGCAATTTCTTGTTATATTTTGAACTGCAATACTGAATTAACTAAAATTGAGCAAATTTGTAATATAAAAAAAAACTTACTGAGTAAAGTCACCACGACTTACATTTCGGATTTACCAAATATTTCAAAATGAAGCTCGTTCCGTTCGGTCAGCAGATTTTGAACGTCAATATCAAAACCTCGTGCAGGGAAACGCATTCCCGACACCATACTGACAGGCCTCAAAATTTCCAGATGTATCCAAGCACGAGACAAATGTTCATGAGGATTTGTATTACTCTACCAATATCTGTGTTAATGGCTGTTCGCATGTTAAGGATCGGCAAAAGATAATAATAATATAGCCTGCCTTAACGACCAGGTTTCCAAATGGCCAACTGTACTTCCGTTTGCCTTTCGGTAATGCGGCACGAGGCCATGCCGCCGAGATGTGACTGATTAGCTCCCCGGAGCATGCACACCGCAACAAAAACAGGTAACTCCTCGGTGCACTACCGGCGCGGGAATGCAAGACAGTTAGGCTGTTGGAGCGGTAATGAATAGAATGTAATTTCCCCGGCACGAGAGAGAGCACAGAATGCTTGAGGGGATGGTGATGGGAAGAGTTCGCATCAGGAGGGAAGAGCAGGTGAATTTATCCACCGTGCCAGGCCCCGGCTTTAAATCGGAAATCGAACGGCGGCCTTCGTTCCCGCCCACCGAACCGAACCCTTGACCTGAAAAAAATATATACACAGGCCGATTCGCGTTGCGTCCCTTTTGATAAAACACTCATCGGTGAGAGTGTGTCGCTGTTGACCGTTTTGTCGCAGGCTTCCTATCCGATTTGCGCACGCTTGTTTGGAGACGAGAACAGAGAATTGAGATTTGCTCTTTGGCAAGCTTCTTCCGTGCCCCGAAATAAATAAAAACCAAAGTGGATGGATGAGGTGAGCCTGGTCATTGATTTGTCTATTGGTCTAGATTAATAAACAACCAAGGTATGTAGGTGTCGTTTGTAAGAAGTACCCATCTCAAGTGCCGTTCTAGATACAGGATAACGAGGTCAAGATCGCTAGGAAAACAGTGCTCTGAAGGATAGCTTCTCCTTACTAAATGTATAAACTGATGTTCACAGTAATGTCTACAGTCAGAATGTCCTCAATCTGACATCGCGATCGGAATTTGATAAGTGTACGGAAACTGTAACTACAAGAGCTAGGCTAATAAATGCGTCATGAGATCGCACTCTCAGAAGGGCAAAGCACTCTAAACGGTCCCTGTATATACTTAATCAATTTGAACGAAGATGAAGTGTTAATGTTAACCTCTTGTCTGGAAAAAAGGCTATGGGTTAGAAAGTAGGTCAAGCACTTCACAGTTTAACTCGTTAGTATGTCTTTGAGAGAGGTTATAAAACAAATATTGACTGCTTCAACTCGTGGTGTAGTAATACTAGCCTCCCTCGGTGATCCATTTCCCTCAGCTACACCGCAGAAAAACAGAACGTTCCATGGATCGCCTCGGAAGGCTCGTTTTACCACACCTCTCGAAGCAGTCAATATTTGTATACTATCCACTGACCTGTTTTTGCTTGTACTTGAGCGCCAGCCGTAGTCTACTTAGCGGGTCCTCCCCGGTGGGACTGTCGTTGTCCCTGTTCAGGATGCACTCCAGCTCCTTGGAGCCCCTCGTCTGATCCAGGAGATCCGTGGCAAACTCCCGACACTGTTCCACCAGCTTGTCGTACTCGGCCTTGAACTCGTTCTCCCGGTAGCTGAGCTTCCTCAGCTCCCAGCTCAGCTCGAAGGCGGTCAGGATCGGGTCCTCGCTGGACAGGGAGATCAGGGAAGGGCTGGCCAGGGCCCGGTAGATGTTCAGCCGGGAGCGGGAGTGCCGGAGCCCGTCGTGCCGGATGCTGGAGATGCAGTCGTCGCAGCCGCACTTGACGTTGTGGGGTTTGGGGATGGAGGCGCCCCGCTCCAGGAGGATCTTGAGGATCTCGTAGTTGTTGCGGTGGGCGGCCAGGACGACGGGACTGATGTCCGGGGTGAAGTCGGTCTCGTTCTGCTCCTGCAGGATACGAGCCTGAGCAACAACGACAAAATAAGACGGACACGATGCAAACAGTATATTAGTCACAGAAGCCTCCATTCTGAAGTATTATGCACCATGGCTTAGAATCGGTAGCAAGAGAAGGCATTAACACTAATGTATTCACACAACTCTTACCACTGTTCACATATCACCATCATCTTTTTTAATATATGTATTATCCTACCATATGGAGTTTCGGGTCAAATATGTGAGAAGGTCTCTCATATCCAGAATATAAATGTTCGAATGTAAAAAAGACACAGCAAAGAACGTCGTTCCTAATGTGCCATATTTGGCCTGCATGCATAGGCCAGTTCACAAACCAATTTGATGCCCTGCCAAAACAAAACATTAGGATGGAAGAAGAAAGGTATCGTAACTACAAGATTAACAACTATACAAGGGCAATATTTTGCAGTCTAAAAGAGTCCTTGTTTGAGCATTCTCCAACATGAACGTTATCGTTATAGTAACCTACATGCGTATGTTAATGTATTCGCCATATGCCATCTTTATTTCCCCTTTTTGTTCCATGTCAACTAGATGAGCTACCATAATGGATGATACGGTTATCAGCAACCAATCTACAATATCACTTTCATATTTAATTATGCTCTTCAAGCCGAAGTTCCAGTTCAGTGAATTTGTGGACGCAAAGTCTACGATAGTAGACGATTCATTACACGCCGTGCGTGTTGTCATTATTCTTATTAGCAGTTACACGCTTCCCAGGCCAGTTATAAAGGGGAATTCGATTATCGTTAATGTATAGGCCCCTGAGCGGGTATCGCCATTATGTAAAGTTCACGTAGGAACGGCATGTACACGGGGAAATCCAAATTGCGAAGAATAAATCAACAAGCAGTAGGCGTCTGAATGCGAGACATCGCTGCCTCACTAACAGCAAAACAGTCCATCACACAGTCGGTGTCACTGATATGACCAATAACACGCGCGTTGCGTGGTAACACGGCAATGGAAAATGGTGTCTATTTCCGACATCACGTATGCACGCCAAAAGAATGCGGAGTGGGAATCGATGACGTCAAAGCGGGATTAACACAGAAAAAACAGGATTCTATCATGTGACTTATTTACATGTATCTGCTGCGACTATAATGGAGGCAACGATGCATTGTTGATCTTTAGTGTTCCGAATATCAATAGATGTTGTTGGCAGTCATAAAGCTTCAATGTTACCTGTATTCAAAGCTAGGGTCACCAACCATAATAATTCTGTCATCAACCAAAACACGGAAGTATTTTTAATAGGGGCGGAGCTTGATGGTTTTTATGTTTGGTTTTTTTTATGTTTGGGGGGCTGGACCCACGATTTCTTTCTAATGCATTTCTTAACTATACCGTACGAACTGATACGCGTTGAACTTTTTCAGACCGTTTGTTCGTAAAGTTCGTCATAGATTGGAAACGACTGTTGCATTGTTTCTGCAGCAGTTCGTTTGTAGATGTTCCCTATCTCTTATCTATGATTGACGCACAACAATCAATGAGGCTATTTACAATGATAACCAAAAGGTATCAACTTCACACGCGTGTATATTGATTTGTGGATGCAAACACAATATAGGCCTGCATGTGTAATAATCTACCATAATTGACAACAGTTCTGAATCTGCGTTCAATATTATAGAGGCTGCACTTCCAAAGACAGCTAGGTATTTCAATGAAACATTACGAAAAAGCTGACAATCTATACTACGTATACCTGACAAATACCTAACACAGTTTACCCATTCCTATTGGTCGAAATTCCTATGAAATCCGGTCCCTTTTACCCTTCGGCTCGGATCATTATCAGCGTCTAGACGCCAAACCGGTCTTAAACATAGTGTTTTAAACCAGCCAAGCACACATTTATTCCCTTAGTAACAAACGAGCCTCTGTTTATAGTAACACAGCCTCATATTCGTTCCAATATGGCGATTGAGTTGAAGGAGCTACGGCCACATCTGAGTCTCTTGTATAAAGCTATTGTCTAGGTCTTCGACCATCACAACTAAAGTGGGAACAAGCTGACGATAGGCGTAGCCGTATAGCTCTGGACGCCCGTTTTGGACACATGTACTTACCCGTATGTCTTTCTTCGGTGCTTTGTAGTTGAGAAGGAGCTCGACAGCCTCCACCACTTCTTCGTCGATGGCGTGCAGGAGTGCGTCCCCAATGCTGACATTGTGCTTGAGCAGCAGCTCGATGATCTCAATGTTCTCGTTCTGGATGGCGATCAGGAGGCCCGTGCGGCCCAGCGAGTCCACGCAGTTCTTGTTGAGGTTGAAGTAAATGTCGGCCTCCTCCAGGGCCTGGCGGACGCTCCCGTAGTCACCTCGCTCGACGGCCAAAATGAAGGCCCGCTCGGTCACCGAGAGGGGCGTCTCCTTGCGCACGATCTGCATGGGGATGCGGTCGCTGGCCGCGTCCACGTGGTAGTAGGCCGGCATGGTGATGGTCGATGATACAGACTGGATGACAGAGGCTGACCCAGCTACAGGAACAGCGACACTCCTGGATGGACGAAGAAAGATTAAAAGAGGTTATGCTATGCGCTACAAACGTTAATCAAGGGTTTAAACATCAATTAAGAGCTTGCCAAAACAGTGACCTCAGTCACTCCTAAAACCCTTTTAAGAAATACACCATAAGAACTGGCGGCTGGGGCCATTTGTCAACTCTCGGCTTCGACGACGTCAGAACTTTATCCTGCAATGAAAAGCCACAGTCATAGACGGAAATGCAAGAACCTGACGCAGCCTGATAGTAATACATGTTATACCTTGCAATATATTTTAAGCTCGAGTAGCGCAATGAGCAGCTCTTAGCCATCAGTCATTTTGTAGACTAATATGACGCGTGCCGCACCTCTGAAGAAATATAGACGCACTAGCTGGCGGCTCAGTACATCTAATTCGTGTCACATAAAGACCGGATGCTTTTCTCAGCTAATACGTGACTAGGAGATGGATAATATCAATCAAAGATCTTTCAGGATTGTCAAAAGCAGACAGCTAGGAAACCTTGCCTTGGGGACCACCGACAAAAGCAGGAAAATAGCAGAAACTGGAAACCCACACAAACATTGGACAGGGCAAAAAAAACACAATGAGTTTTTCCGGAGGACATGACTTGCATCAAATGTACTGAAATGGCGGGAATCAGATCGACAATAATGCGCTGAGTGATCATATTTTCCGGATATCCTTCAAGATGACAAAAGGGTACAAAGGCAAAGTGGATATTGAAGTTGGAAATTTTGCTGGTAAACAAAATTGCAGAATCATCGGAGTAAAAAACCCCAACAAATTGGCACGTAAGGCATGAAGAGTTAATTGTTAACATGAGATTCTAGATTTCATGGCACAAGGTCGAAATACGATGGGGATCAACTATAGCTGCAATGCAGCTAGGAGCTGAACATTTTTACAATTTACAACTGGGATTGTTTGTGGCATTATACGTGAGTTTTGTCAGTGGGACAGGAGATCAAGTTCATTTATAGGGATATCACAGTGTTATTAACACCTACTTCAGAGTGGCCTTCCACAACACGCCGAACCCAACCGTAGGAGCGACTCGGGTCAACCCAAAGAAGTTTTCATCTCAAACAGGAGAACTAACCACAATTGTTTTTCCATTGACTATAGTCTCTGGGTTCGTTGAAAGCGACAGCAACTGTCGATCTTTCGATGTAGTCGTTCCTAACTGTTGACAATGTCTAACTCTTCACATACTTTATTCAGAAGTCAGGTTGGCGCTGCGGTCCTTTCCTCGCCTTCCACCTCTACGGCCCGGGTTCGATTCCTGCCCTTGCCACGTGCGGATTGTGTTTGTTTTTTTCAGTCCCTACCTGATTCCACCGGGTTTTTCCCAAAATATTATTCTGAGATTTTCCTTCCACCTCTAAAACTGATTTTAGAGGTGGAACTGTACATATTATACAGGTTTCTTCAGGCTTGCGAGCTACAGTGCATATGGTGCTTTCGAGGAATCCTTGGTTTCATCACCACATATAATTCAACTCCTATTATTGTTTGGTTCCGCGCCACAAAGGAACGCGACCTATATAAACAGATATTAATTTTTCTCCCGCGTGAGGAATGTGCCCATATCTTTAAAATGTTGCCAAATTTACAACGTGGTAACGTGACACTAGAAAACTCGTGCTTGCTGGGCGAGTGGGGAGTGGCGCCGTAGTTTTTGTGCGGACGTAGTATAGATGACACTGTATATCTCACTCTCCAGGAACTGTGAAGGACGCATCACGATCGCGCCCCTGGTTTTCTGGACTGAAATGAAATGCACAGAGTCGCAGGGACTTTGCGCGAGACGTACGCACCGGGATCTGGGCGCACGGGAGCAGAGGAACCTAAGTGTCCTTCAGTAACTGTTATGCTCCGTATTTCAGTCGCTGAGGGCGTAGTTTAAGGACAGCGTCAATATAGCAACTTCTTAATTTCAGCTTCACCGACACTGACTCTAGCAAGAAAGGAATGCGTGACATGGTAAAAGTGCAGATTGACACATAAATGGCTTCTGGGGCACTGCGCATAATCTAAAGCTGGCAGCTGTCCAGAAGCTAGGTAGGTAATACCAATTAATCCTAGTATTTTCCAAAGGACTCTAGCCAACATTAATGAAATGCACTCTTACAGTGGCCACATGCTGCGCGGCGCGGGGATACTTGGCGGTTTAATCCCTTTGAAGAAAGCCAGTGTTTCAGAGAGCACGTCATATTTCAATTTCTGCCATCAAATTTTAAAGCTTTTAAAAGCTGAAGGACTGTCATTCGCACACCAAATATCAATTTATTGTATCTGGGTATCCGACTTACAATAAATCAGTGTTGTAGAAATGGAGGGGGAAAGTACACGTAAATCAATTTGGCGCCGTTACATAGTCTAATTTATAACACCTCACCCACAGATTCTGTGTCTTGATTGGCCGAGAGCGGGTCACATGGTACTTTATATTTTTGCTACATTTCTGTGCACGGCAAAAAAGTGTTATACCAGTAGCAACCAAAGTATTATTCCACGGCGCGGTATTTGTATGCAAAATGTATGCTGGTGCGCGAGTTGAGCGTTGCGCGTGGCGCATGTTGTTCCCAAGAGCCAGCCTACAGAGTTGGGTTCAAACATTTCGTGAAGGTGTGGTTTGGAAGAGAGAAATACATTTTCCACCAATTTTGTATTGAAAAAGAAGTTCACTGTAACTGTATTTAAATTTAAATAATGTTAAACTGTTAATACCAAGCAGAATCTGTGGGAGAAGTGTTATGGATCGGTGATTCATGGATCACCTCGGGAGGTTAGTTTTCCTACTCCACTCAAAGCAGTCAATATTTGTATACTATTCAGTTGATTCAGAATGGTTATTCACTGGAAGTCTTTTCATGCCTGTGGTCTACACAATGGGCCGGATTTAGCCCATCCAATGGACTCACGGGGTAGCCCTACACGATAGCACTGCCCCGTTCAAACGAGATAGTCAGTGGGTCAGTGGGGATCATACAAAGAGGACAGTTAGGCTGCTGGCTCTCTCGGACCAACACAAATAACAAACGAGGTGCAGTGAACGGTGTGGCCGTATAGCGATGATTAATTGCTAGTGCTTGACATGCAGGAAGGCACACATGTTCTACCATGAATATTGACTTTACGTCCGTCCTTGTTATTTTATTTTCAGATCAAATCATATTTGCTTGGATAGCAGCGTGTCTATTAAACTACGGCATACGCTGATGGCACGTCATTTATTCGGTAGCCGAACGCGGTGGAGTAGTACCCACTAACACAAACTGTCCATTATACTGGCGATTTGAAGGACTGAGGTAAAAGGCAAGTACGTCAACGCACTTGGGGCCAGTGTTTATTCAGTGCACAAATAGACATGCCTATAAAAGTTACCGATATGTGCATTTATAATGCATGTATATTTCACCCATTATGGGGTCATTTTCAGAGCAAATTGGATAGCGTGACACTTACCGTAACCCGTGCTTTATAGCAGAACTCGGTTGCTTTTCTACAGACACAGTTATACTGTTTAACGTGCATCATTTCTGAAGTATAGGCCTACTCGACGATTCATAAATGTACATGTATAACCGAAGGCATGTCGGCAACGATGATTTGTTTCTTTCTATTTTATATCACATTCAATTTCATAAATATGAGGAAACAAAAGTGTTTAGTTTACATCTCTGTCAGAAACATCTATTGACCTCCACCCTGAAAACCACCCAAATTCTTTAAGAGCATTTAGGCCTACAACAAGATAAAGGCTGTAAAAGTGCTTCATGATTGTAATCACTATCAAAGTCAAACCCACAGGTTTGCGACATCTTCGAATGGGGCCCTACATATTGTTTTTTCAATATGCAATGAATTTCCAGGCACTTAATAAGGCAGAAGATGTACACAAGAGCAGAATTGGGTCGTCTCCACTGAAAATAATAGAATAGGTTGTGCTTTATTTACAAAGTGGAATAGAGGAGATGACAAGGAATTGACAAAGGATGATGCATTTTAGTTGGTAATGGCGACTCACTAAATGCGCGTCTTATATTCAACCAATTGGCAAGTATCCGTATTGTGTTTCCAATTTTGCTGGTAAGCCGAACCTTATACTCCAATTAACTTTATTCTCTCTGTTAATATTTTGATAAATGGTTCATTGGGGACAAAAAGATATAACAATAAAAACTTTGAACCTAAAAATCACAACAGATTCGAGCTTTTTATTCTATTTTATTGTACACTTTATCGAGGGAAGTCCATTTCAGTTTTTATAAAACTTCTCCCCATAAAGGAGCCCTCACATTAAATGAATGAAAATAAAATTAGACAAACATAAAAAAAACACTATTCTGATGTAGCAGCCATGTCCGAAAGGAACGACATGCATTGAACATCTTAAAATCTCAAAAACTTGGGTGGGTGCGATGTGTTCAAATTTGAAAAGATCATGAACAAAACAAAAATGGTATTAACACAAAAAAACACAGGTTGACAAATATGGTGGGTCCATTATTCCAAACGGGGCATGAGCATCGCGAGGGTGGGGGGGGGGGCAGGGGAGCCTTGGACCCCCCCCCCCCCACACACACACACACACAAGGGGGGGGGGAGAAGACGAGGGGCAAAGTCATATTGCTGTTAATTTAATGCACATTTAACAACATGGGCGTTCACAGGGGTGTCAACGGGGGTGCAGTTGGCAAATGCTCCCCTGCCCATCCTCGAAAAATTGATAAATCGAAAATATGCTAGAGAAAGTACAAGGATTTGAAGAAATAATGTGCTTTGCCCCCCTCTAGAAACAAATCCTGGCGACGCCCATGAAACGGGCGTCAACCGTTTATTCTTGTGACTAAACAGCGTACCAGTTTCAGACAGTTGCATAAAAGCCGTATAGAAACCCTATGACACTAAAAAAACAACTGCCCTTTTTAGTATACGCATGATTGGGGGAATATTTCTCAGAAACAACCGGTCAATGTTAGAGCCCTTGTCATTCGCGCAGGGATGAAAAACAAAACAACATGTAGGAAATATGACTCGGCTTAGCGAGGCCCATTATGTTTCCGGCTTGTCGAAGGTCGGCTGTGGGCGGCAAATGAAGCAAAATGACAAGCCTGGTAATGGACTTGCCACTCAACTTCCACGATCCGTACGCGAATCGGGGTAATTTTTGTTTGTAAGCGATGGCAACAGCACAACTGAATGTTAATGCATTCACCCTTATAATGGGGATGATAACTTGAGCAAAAGGCATTTGCAAATGTCAGATGAACCTTTTTTAATAACACTCTGGCAATGTATATACATCGGCTTTCAAACTAGCGTACATTACTTCAAAATCTTCAATCAATAAACCGTCACTGAAATACAGCGAAAGTATACCAATTCCCTTTTGCTGTAAATTGATATATTTTTCCCACATGAGCATAAGAACCAGAGTTTTCGTCAAATCAACAATGACGTCAGACGGAAATTTCTCAGCATGCAGGTAGGCCTAATTCTGCCAAAACACAAATGACTATAGCCTGCAGTCAACATTTAGCATGTTATAACATTGTGAACCTTTTGTCACACAACTCATATCCTTAAACAGTCTACCAATGAAGACGACACGAATACTTACATAATACCTTAGGCGCAATTAAATTTATACACTTACCCGTTCCCGATCCCACCACGGTACCTTCTCGTTTTTCGAGCCATTCATTCAACGAAATGTTCGCATTTGCGGCGCGTTGAAAGCATCGCAATCCCAGGAAAGTGAGTAAAACTGGCTGGTCGGCGCAAAAAAATATAGATCGTGCGACCATCCCATATTATTCTAATGTAAAAAAAATCTGCTGGTATGGTTTCTGTCATCGCGGCTGTATAATGCTTATGGGAGAAATTAATGATGACATGCTATTTACATACATTAAGTATACGCAAGCAATAATTTCAGCATAGGCCTATAGCTTATAAGGCCGTCAATATGCATTGTAGGCCTATATGAATAAACAAACAACCTTGCATAATAGACCTACACATTTTAACAAGAGGAATATAATGTGGGCGTTGCACAAGTTTCATATAATGTAATTTTATACCATTACATGAATTGGAAATTGTGTAGACATTCAGGAAATGTTGCCCGAAACGTTGAGTAAGTGCGCAGCTTTCATTTGGAATGCAAAACGTTTGTAATGCCCACCATTAGAAGAACGGAACATGAAATTACAAGGAATACAAACAATAACATACCCAGTTTTGATTAATTGTTTCAATAAAAGACAGAAATAAGGACGTCACACTTTGCAAAACTCACATCACAAATGACATCGAAGGTTCAATAAACAAAGAGCAGGCTAGTCGAAACGTTGAGACCAAACTGATCTCCCTCAGCCTCAGAGAAGATAATTGGGAGAAGTCCCACTGCCTTCCAATGTACTTAGCGAAAGTAGATAACAAGCAGGACAAGTTCCTTCTTTTAACAAGCAGGGAAGTTCTTATCGGAACTAATACAAATCTACTGATTGAAAGAAGACACAGCAACATGGTGTTACCGCAAGACCGTAACTATATCGGTACTCCACCATTCAAAGCATAAAGTCTTATATCGCGATACATTGTTCCTTATTCGGAGTGTCATTTTCTGGGTGTTGTACATTTTCTGCTGTCAACCTTATTTGTAACGAACGCTTTCAATATTGTCATGTTACGGATGCTTAATATCACAATCGAAGCTCACCCTGTTCTGCCACCCAAAGACGCCATGATGCACACATGCAGGCAGTCGAGTCCCTTCTATGCCAGAAGAGCTCTATGCTGCTTGCTTTTGACTTTTCCCGGGCCCAAATTGAAATCAGTCTCACGCATGATTTCATAGCGACACTTAGAGAGACAAAATAATTTCCCTTTATATAATATACGCGGAAGGTAAGTGAACACTGCCTGGTTGGGAAAAAAATTGGACAATCATGGTACATAATAGAGAAAAAAATACGGTGGACCTTTACGTCGTGTGTTCTAAAACTAAAACACCTCAAATTCATGTAACACTCATGCTTTGCAAGAGACTGTATCCAAATTGAGACTGGTTATTGTTTTTAACAATGTCACAAAACACTCCCCACCACTTTTGAGTGATACTTGTAATCACTTGAACTTTGCTGTCTCATTCTTCATGAGAGGCTTTTTGCACATTTTTTTGTTTGCATTTTTTTTGTTAAACATGCGTGTATGAATTTCACAAAGCAACAAAATCAACCTCACACGAGCCGCGATTGCACCAAATTATGAATTATTTCCATAAAACTCAATGCCGAAAAGGTGTTTTCTACCTATTTTTCTACAAGATACACTACAGCATCATAACCCTTCATTTCGTTAAGTTGAATTTTGGCGTCTCAGTTTAAAACTACAAGAGATTCCTGTCTCCTGAGGGAGAATACGTCATTGCTAGCACAAAATTGTCCTCGCTAGAGACCATTACAGGCAAATTGCAAGACAGACGTCAGACACAATTTCATTAAATGTAAACATGAATCCAAGATTGCTCTTCAGCAAAAGCAATGTGCAAATGCAGGAAGCATTTATAGCTGCCGAAGACTTATCAGAATATTGGACATGCCGAGTTCTTAATATTAAAATTGCCTCACAATTGTCTCGTAGAGGTCTCCACCCCCCTCCCCAATGTTATGCTGGTTCAAAATGATATTGTACGGTATTCATGGTAGACTTTGAAGAAGAATCTGCTTCTCGGCTTCTTATGGGTATGTACAGGTGTTAAAAAAACGGTTTACACTTTTTTCACACGCAGATTTCACGGAATTGGGGACACATGTTAAATTTTTTCAAGACGTTCCTAAATTACAGCATCTTCGTGGTATTAATGGTGAAAACGGCGCTGAAAATAAAGCCTAAATTAAGAAGTATTGATGGTTTAAAGAAAGATTGTCAAAAACCAGTTTATCCACACGCAAGTCTATGAGATATGGTCAACACAATAGCACTGCGTACACAAATAATTGCAATAATTGCATAAGTAGGTCTATACATAACTGCCATAGACGTAGACATGGACACACTTGTTTTTGACCATTCCTCTGTAAAAGACCGCTATTTTCCAACTGGAGCTTTATTTTCAACGCCGTTTTCACCACATACGACTAAGATCTTGTAGTTTAGGAATATCTTAAAATAATTTCAACAGATGTCTTCAATTTCAAACATGTCCCTGAAAAAGTGTAAAAAATGTATTATGTCATCATGAAATACTGTATTTTACCTAAACACATGTACCGTTAAATGTGTGATTTCGTATTCCTTAATGCGTTAAGGTATAAAATCAGGTAGAGACCATTAGACACGATGCAGGTATACGGAAGCCGTACATTTCATCTGGCACACAATGGGAAATATGCATTTCGCATCAAATTGTTACAAGGTATAAAAATGTGGGTTTGGTGCCACCACACAAAATGGCGCCATAATCAGCTCCATACCCGCACAATTTCTAACGGTCCCCGAGTATTGCTTCACAGAGCCCACAGACCAAAATTAATATCCAGACGAGGGATCTCCGCCATTAAAATAAAAAATAAAAATTGTCAATTCAAACTTTGGGTTTTCAATTTGAACACAATTGCTCCTGGTTCGACGATTCGCTTTGTGCGTGCAAGCACTTCATATTGTCATCACCACAAAGTGTCCGTTTTCGGATGGGTGGATCGGGCAATGAAAGCAAGAAGAAGAAAAAAATAATAATATTTTGCACAGGAAATCAATTATATTCCTAAGACAAGAAAGTGGAGGCAGCTAAATGCAATCACAAATTTCTGAGATTTGTACTTGCTGCACAAGCGTGGCGATGGTTTCTGAAAGAGCGGTTGGAAATGACAAGAAACAAGAGAAAGGTAAATGACACGCAAGTACAAGCGCCTTGGAGAAACGGAAGAGGTTGAGAAAAATTCTCGCGGGGACGCAATGTGTTTCGACGGACATTTCTTTCAATCCCTTCGACTCACCACTTAACAACAAGCTGGACAATCGGAAAGCCCTTACCTTTCACATTCATACGAACTGAATGAACTCTCTGAAAGAAGTCCTTTTTGAATGCCTGAGTAATTTTATAGGTACCAGTGAGTTGTTTAACTGACAATTATACCGTACCCGACCTGGGGTTTGTGTAATGCTGAACAGTTCTTCGCTGACCATTATTTGCAATTTTCGACAGATTTTGCCAACTTGATTTTTTCTAGTGAAAGAGTCTATGAGCAAGAAGTAACCTTAGGCCCTAATTAAATTCAATATCTCGAATTATGAGTAATTGGTCGGTTGTGTACGCAGTTTGAAACTCATTGAAAATTAGGCCTAAGCGGATAATGCACGGTCCAATACTCAATGGTATTAGCCGTGTGATGTGGTATGTGGGTTTGAACTCACAAGGAGAACACAGTGCTTGTGTTCTTAGGCAAGACACTTTACTACAACAGTTGCCTCTATCCACCCAGAAATATATAAAAGGGGCACCCTTGATTTTACTCAGAACAGACTGCGCTGATCACGATTTCTGAGCCGTTTCAGACATACGTGCACTCCTTGAACCAATTAAGAAGAAGAAAAAATGACGGATCTTTAAGACCAAAATGACACACTGAATCCTTTCATCTTCTTCCACCTTTCATCTTCTTCCACCTTTCATCCTCCACCAACAGAAGACTGAATCAAACAAGGGCGTATGTCAAACATGACGAGACCTTTTAACTGAAGTTACACTTACCATTGGAGATGTGCAAAGTGGAGACAACAGAGTGGTCAGTTGGTGTTTGCATAGTACTGGATGCGTCCGTTTGGAACGACAGGTAAAAGCAACAGGGAAGATGAGGAGGCCAACTCAAACCTGGTGATGAAGAAGAACAAGACTTAGTGAGTGTTATAAGGAGAGCCCAGTAAATTTGTTGGTCCTGTTCTTAGTCATAAGAGACAAGCTGTCCGTACGTCAGTTAGTCAGTTCAGAGAGATGGGTACTTTGTGTCAAAAAGAACATGTCCTACTTTGATCCTAAATAACTGTTATTTACCAATGGAATTGAACCAACATTTCAGATTATGTAAACAAGGCATGACAAATTGTATGAAGCGACTTCTTCAGCTTTGTGCAAGAGGGTGAGATTTAAACGCCATACGAAAAAAAATACGCCCTTTCAAAATCTGCCGGCCACTTTCGACTTGACATCCTCCAATGTCAATACAGCGCTGGAGACGGTGGCGGAAGGCGCCTGCTGCTGCCGAAAACTTCTTAAGGAATGCAGGATCACCCCTGGTGTCATTGCACACCTCCTCGATCGTTTGGCACAACACACGATCCAGGAGATGTGCAATGACATCAGGGGTGATCCTGGACATCTTCAGACCGCAGCACGCGCCTACCGCCAATGCCCCAGCACTTTATTTGCCATTCTGTGAGTATTTTGTTTTTTTCGTATGGCGCTTAAATCTCTAATGAAAGTCGCTCCATAAAATTTGTCATACCTTGTTTACATGATCAGAAATTTTGGTTTAATTCAATTGGTAAACAACAGAGTTATTTAGGATAAAAAGTAGGACTTTTTTTACACGTAGTACAAAGTAGACAATAGGCTGGCCGTCTGTCATCAGCAAAAAAAATCACCGTTTATGCCATGTGTCTTCAAATGCTACGAGCAGAGCATCATTAAAATCAGTTTATTATACAGTAAAAGGCAGTGGGGCATTCGGGAAATAAAATCTTTTTTTTTTTTTAAACAAACCTGCACAAAGGAAAACACACGGATTTACTGAATAAAGATGAGACATCAGTTCAATGAAAACCGAGCAAAAAGTAATACATCAAAAATCTAAATTATCGCGACTGCCCTTTCAAAAAGTATGTATCGCTCTTTCTTCAAAGGTTATACTGTTTTACGATACGTTCAAATGTTCCGCATTTTAATTCATTACGCGATGCATTAGGCTTGAGTATACGTTTAAAAAAAAAAAAAAAAAACATGTATCGCTCTGTCGATAATTATCGGTGCGGGACAATGAACCTAAAATTTCGACGTTAGAATTCATTCACGGTTCACTAGGTTTGATACATCATTAACTCGCCTGTTTCGGGAACCATGAATAAAGTTGTGTACATACGGAATTAATTTTCTTCATTATTTTTTTACTGGTCTTTTTTTGCGTTTGTCTCATCACAGCCCAAAAGAAAAACACGTGAGATACATGAGGTCTTCTTTTAATCACGGATGAGCAATCTCTGCGGATAGGGGCTGCAATTGGATGATGCTGATGGAACACCGGGTAGTGTGTCATGCCATGTGATTATTTGGGTGTTGGTGTGGGGTTTTGTTCGGGGGGGGGGGTGAATTCAAAATCAGCAACATCATAACAAACATACTGATTATTACACTATAACAAAATCTAGTCAGAGTTGACTAGAAAACAGGCAAACTTTCACCCAGCTGACCACAGTTAGGATCAACTGGGTATACAAGTTTCATTCAAGTCAAGTCTGACTATGGGCTCCGTGCGCCAACTAAAGAGGGCGCCCTTTTACATAGCAACGACGTCCCGTGGGCGGGACATTTAGCTGGTTGACGCGTACCGTTCCTTGTGTGTGACGCACGTACACCAGAGGTTTTGTACCATGTACACGCAGTGGTATGCATGGTGCGGCCGCGCGCCGCGGCAAAATTGCAGTCAGGCAAGATGGCGTCGGTCGGTCACCCCGAACTGTGCTTTCTTTGCCGGTGAGGGGGTACTTGTGAACGGAGCGGATAGAGTGAGAGGGAAGGTTCAGGAATGGATAAGTGACTGGCGTGAAAACAAAACCAACATGCAAGCAGCACAACCGGCCATCCAGCTAACTAGCTAACCAACAAGCTATATAACCAACAAGCCAGAGCCAGCAGGGGACACAGCCAGCCAGCTAACAAGCCAGACAGCCAACGAGCCAGTCAGCCTTCAAACCGTCGGTCCAGCTGGGGTGCCAGTCAGCCAGCCAGCCAGTCAGTTGGCCTGTCGACCAGCCAACCAGCCAAGCAGCTTGCCAGTCAGTCACTCGACCAGCGAGTCAGTCAACCAGCCAGCCAAACATAAAGCTCAGTAATAATCTACAAGAAGCACTATACTTGATTTGTGTTCATGCAGCTAGCCAGCCAAGCAGCCAGGCTGGATGCCAACTATCTAGCCAGGCAATAAGTAGCAAGTCAATCCCCCAAAAGTGTAAACAGGCGTATGCAACACACAGGGCGTATACACGTAATTGAACATTCCAAAGTCATCTCACGTCATGCAGCCGTGCACCAATTTTCAGGGAATCGCAACTTCAGAAAGGCCTCAAACAACTATGCGCTGAATCTCCTTGAGGTATACAGGCCTAAAATCTTCCAATGACACGGCATCACTCACTCCCTCGAGGGTGCCAATGACAGCCGAAATTGCTTACCGATTAGTTACAACGGAAGCATTTACCATTCTCCGTCCACAGCTCTCAGTTTATTCCGTTAATCAGCCGGCAGAAGAAGTCGAACCTTCCATCGCGTGCAATCTTGGAATTGTCCGACGATTATCTAGACCTGGTCCGTTTACACTGAACTGTCTACGGACTTCCAATAATGCGATACTCATCCGCATCACCTGATGAAAGCTAGACAGATGAATCTCTCCACTCGGTAGACCTTCGTGGCTTATATTCTGATCCCGCTTAAAGCTGTCTTCAACTGAAGACAATATTACCAGCAAAAGCTACAAAACCTGAACTGGTCACGGTCGACGTCAGCTCCGGGACGTCTTAACCTTGTATTACAACGAAAGCACTGACAGTGTGCGGGTATGTCTCATTACACAATTCCATTGTGTAAAGAAAGTAACACTGATCTCATCGTAAAAAGATATCACGTACATGTAAATCGGTAACCCAACCATAAACATTCAAAAAGCAGGTTTAGTGTTACCAGACTGATTACCTGCTATCTGTGCAAGGGTGCAAGAGCGACCCGACTATTCTCAAAACAGCCAGCCTCTACCATTCGTGAAGTTTATTTTATAGTCCGTTAATTTCAATTGCTCATTATTTTGATTAAGATATATGGAAATAAATCAAGAGAAGTCAAATAAATTTCTGAAGGGAAAACAAAAATGTGAACAGGATCCCGCACTGATTGAGGAATTTTGTCCGACCGAATTTTAGATGAGGCTTGTAAGACTTTTAGGCCAAATACTGCTAACAATCATAAGCAAATGCACAATTAGAATGCGCATATAATGAAGATGTTTCCCACTGATGTGGCCTTGAGTGGAGTTCGGGGTAGTGAAGAGATAAACACAGAGGGCCTGGGTTACGTAACTGTTGTCAGTTGATAATTCGATACAAATGTGAACACTTGAGGGCTCTCTAGGGTACATTCAAAGCTGGCCATGGGTTACCGCAGGTACACGATAAGGGTTTCGCAATACATTTCAAACATTGCCGCTTTATTAGAGGCTCGTCTGGGACAGTATTGATTTACATGCATGCAATAAAAAATACCAGTGAGATGAATGATACCAAGCACTTCGCTGGTTCCCGCTATTTACACTACAACAGGCCAGAAGGGCCAATGCATATCAACCACTACAATATGGAACTGCATGAAGCGCATCCATTAGGCCGGTTACCAGCCACAAATCATATACGTAAACTATATCGAATGCTGGTGCCCTGGTCACATACCATAGCGTGTTGAGTATTAGGCTGAACTGTTGCGATCTGTCGGAGGACGGCCATTATTGCTTTCGTAACACTGCCCGCAACATTGTCAGCACCGGTTCAAATGTCATCATTTATGCACACGATTTGCATTAAAAGTTACAGCCGATGAAAGGCAGTGGAGCAAGTTCTCCTCGCTAAGCCAGAAAAGGTGGTCCTGATCTCACTGCTTTAAACCAAGTTTGGTGCAGCCATGTGCCACTACTACTTTAAACGACCACACCCAATAAATTTGAAAAAAGTGGTCAATCACAAATTATCAGTGAAATTAAAACAACTTAACAACTGTGTTCAGCCTATTATATGAACCGTGCTGTGATCGGCCGTTACATGTACGCGTGTTATGGCATGCCAATACCATGCTAAATATTCGTACCTTTGCATATAATAGATATCAGTTGGCCAATAATTTAACCTCGAGTATAGGCTAAAAATGCGGGTAGGTTGTCATGCAAATGAGGGTAGTACAAAGCAGTCGTGACGAACATTTCGCATCGGGAAGAAAATCCTCTGACGTACAGTGCCACGGAGCAATTATTAATCAAATTTTTCAGTTGAAATTGAATAAACACGCAATCTGGATATAGCGAAATCGATTACGGAAGCGGCGTATGAAGCCGCGAGCAAACTATGCATGCAACCGACAAAAATATTTGTAACTCACGTACCTTTTCTTTAAAACAAACAAACAAACACCCTAACATCCCCAACACACTTGTCCGCTGACCCTTAATGTTAGGCATGCACAATGGACCTTCACATACTCGGCATGATCAATCCATGCTACAGGGTGAGTAAAAAAAACAACAAGCGGAACCCAAAGCAAAGAAATATATTTTATATTTAAAACAAATATGTAGCACCAAAAAATAATTATGACTGGTAAGCCAATTTAATAAGCTACTTTTAGATGCAAACAAAAAATTACTTCAATTGCTCAATCCGTTCAAATTATATCACCATTTAAACGAAATGACACTATAATCTGTTTCGTCCAAACACGCGATTTCAAGAATTGTCGTTACAATATTATTGTCACCAGCGATAAAACCTCAGTTTAAAAGTTAAACAATATTCAACAAAGTCCTTTTGAAGGCCTGTCTTTCCAAAATAAAGTGGATTTTA